ACTAGACCCTAGTACTAATTGACAAATTTATTTTAGAATTGAATTATTTTACTTTAGAATTCTAATTAGGGAGAGGTATATGCAATTTTGTGTTATTTTAGAATTGACTTGTTTTATTTTAGAATTCTAAATAGGGAGGGGTATATTAGGGATATTAAAATTTTCACAATTTTGGTGTACTCCTGTTATATATAGTGTCACATCCTGGCCCAGGCCCCCACCACATCCCGGGCTCGACTCCACCGTAGCACGATAATGTTCACTTTAGGCCCCTACCACACCCTCACGGTTTTGTTTATGAGAACTCACACGAGAACTTCCCAGTAGGTCACCCATCCTGGGATTGCTCTCGCACGAACTCGCTTAACTTCGGAGTTCCAATAGAACCCGAAGCCAATGAGCTCTCAAAAAGCATCGTACTAGGTAAAGATAGGAATATAGATATAAGGCTTACAAGATCCTCACCCCTGGGTGATGTGGGATCTTACATATAGAGATGCAAATCGCGCCTAGAAAACATTACAAAACCAATAAAGAAAGCCCTAAAATTAAACACGCACACTCATGTTTTGATTTTTTGCAATATATAATTATAATTACTATAATTGAGAAGTTAAACGTAGCCAGGTTTGTTGAACTTGTTAGTAAAGTGTTATTTAGTTTGCATATTAATGAAGAAATATGCTTTTAAGATTCTCGGAGCATACTTCAGAGAATCTTGTCATGCTAAGGGACTAACACGCAAGCACATTACATATCTTAGTAATTTGAGTAGATAGTGTGACGATCGACTTGGACCATTCGAGATGAATTGGGCTCGAGGACTTGTCGGCTGTGGGCTTCTAGAGAATGTGGCCCGCTACCCCCTTTGTTTCACTAACGATCTACATATTTTATCCAAAACAAAGTAGTCATACACAGAAAATGTTTTCATTGGTCGGAATTTTTTATGCTCCCACATCTACCACAATAGTATGCTTATTGAAGCACAAGTTGTTTATTTGACTGTAGAAAACTGCTTGATTGTTAGTGGCGACTTTAGAAAACACTATACATACCACATAAATTTTCATTTAGTCGTCATGTGATAAAAATGGTCACTCACCCTTACATTTCCATTTCAGAAGTAGGTTTCCATAGTTGCTGACCACCTAGTGACCGAAGAGTTGGACTTATCACCACCATTGTCATCCTCGTCCAGCTTTTATATCTAAATAAATCTTTTACTTATGAAATTAATATGAGATCTTCGCTCCTCCTAGGTGAAAACAGTAAGTACAGGAGGAAAGAAACCACTCCATGTGGGCTCGACTTGTTCTTGTGGTCTCGAGCAACAAAATGGACAAGATCTTTTTGGACCTCTAAAAATCCAAAATTTCCAATTTGATCACTCAATAGGATAATACAAATCTCCATCTTCTCTCTCATAGTTTGAAGAACCTATGCACGACCAGGCTAATGGGGACCGGATCAGTAAACTACCTGATTGTGTTCTAGCCTACATTGTGTCGAAATTAACTATGAAAGATTTGGTTAGAACCCGAATACTGTCGAAACAATGGCTAAATCTCTGGGAATCAAGGAGAAATCTTGATTTCGATTTTCCCAACATGTTCGATCAATCATGAAGAACAAAATTCCTTATATAGTTGAAAATAGTACAAACAGATAGATTTCTTGTGAGAATTAAGGTTTTGTTCGTCAGTCTGATTTTCGACACAACAATCTTTTTTTAAGCAAATGAGGACTTTCGTGAACTCGTTCGACAACAAGTATTCTTTTTGGCTACTCTTTCGTTCATAGGTTGGTTGTCAAAGACGAACTCAATACAAATGATATTCTGAGTAACAAAAGAATATATATACTTGGTTATTAACAAGTCGACGAATATCCCCATTTGCTCAAAAATGATAATCATATGGAAAAAGGACACAGCAAACAAACCTGAACCCTTACAGGAAATCTAAAATGGCGACCTCAAGCTAACAAGGCTCCTTACTGAGCGAGGATCGGGCGGAACCTCTTCCTTTACTTTGCAAAGAAGCAACATTTCCGTTTGCGCCAAAACTCGCCCTCTCTTACAAGAAATCTACTTTCAAGAAATTTACACATTAATCAAAACTTTATATGCCAATTAAATAATCATGTCCCAAGTTCGAATCTCCGCTCTCAGTTAGATGGAATCCACCGAATGTTGCCATCATTGATTCATTTTCGGCTATGGAAGAAATGAAGAGATTTTCACTGCACCCAAAACCAAAACAGTTTGAGTAAACATTTCGTCTATTCGGAAACGAAGTGTGGAAGTTTGTAATACGATTACCTTAACAAACCCGAGAATCCACGAATCCGAGATCGTCGTGGCAAAGCAACTGGCATAAGTTGCAGGAAGGAATGAGACAGAAAGTCGATCCATTATGTTTCTATCAGGACGAGTAATCTTCCATATAGACGCATATGTATGTATGTATATTATACAAAACCTTGGTGAGGACGATATATAGAGAGCAGTTGAACCAAGCAGTGAGAGAGATGAAGTAATCGTGAACGAGAATGTGTCGACATTATTTGACACGGTGACGACACTTTTGTTCATCGACTGTTTACTTGCTTAATCAATTGGATTTGGATCCTCTCCTAAGCCCAAGGAGAGGATCCTCTTGACCAAAGAGTGTGGGCATTCAACAGTTACAAACAGGGGAACCTCTTTAAAGTTATAATAATTATAGTCGTTGGATAAAAATCCAATGATCCACACTTCTTGGTCAGGAGTATCCTCTCCTTGAGCTCAGGAAAGGATTCAAATCCTAATCAATCAACTGCGCTCATGTTTACTTATATAAGAAGTGGGAGAAGTTATGACTCAAAAAAAGAAAACAAGGAAGGAGAATGGTTAAGATTTTAGTTAAACTTAGTTAAATCTCAACCATTCATCCGTGAAGAATGATGTGCACAAAATTTTGTAGTTGATTGAAATATTCCGCATCGACTGTATCTATGTCAAAAGAATAGTTTAAATATATTAACCCAACTCCAACTAATACTGAGGTCTTTTGTGATAAAACCTCACACCTATCAAAATGTATATGTGGTAATTAACAAATTGGGGACTAATATTAGTGTTGTTGGAAGTTGGCCTTTGGCCTGTCTCTCTGATAATTCGACATGGTATCAAAGTCATGGAGTGGGTCCCTTGGTCCCTCGTATAGGGTGAGTCCCCTTGGCAGTATGGATCTGTGTTAAAATATTTCATATCGACTGTATTTTTGAGAAAGATGAGTTTAAATATCATAATCCAACTCCAACTAATACCGAGACCTTTTGTGATAACCCCACACATGTCAAATTGTGCAGGTGATAATTAACAAATTGGGTAACATTGGTGTTTGGAAGTAAATTTTTGGTGGCCCGTCTCTCTGATAAGTAGACAGGCTCGACATGAATCGAGTCAAGTGGATTTCTAGCAAGTTGGGCTAGTCCAATGAGAAACGTGTGCATGTGATAATTAACAAGTTGAAAATAATATTGATGTTTGGAAGTAAACATTTAGTCCGTCTCTCTGATAATTAGACAGGCTTGACACGAACCGAGTCCAGTAGATTTCTAGCAAGTTGGGCCAGTTCAATGAGAAACGAGCCCATTTGTATCGTGTTTGCCTCCTAGACTGCTACGGACTGTTTGGAGTAAACAAAACAAAAGGTAGAGGGGGAGGGCCATGTTGGCATGTTACCATGCCGTGTGTTGACATTCAATATTTAATAGACAACGCCGTCCCATTGCCCATGTTGCCCCTATTGCCGGCACAAATGATTAAAATGTAACTATACACTTCAAACACTTCCACTATCTTTAATGTGACCCATTGAAACTACCCTAATCACTGATAAGAGTTGTGAACGATCAACATGTTTACTTACTTGAAAGTGAGAGGTGGTAATGAGTTGTGAAAGTTAGAACGTGAAAAGAAATGAAATTATACAAAAGACACTACACTCAACCAATCTAGTTAATTCTCAAATTTTCGAGCATTAAATTACGGATTGTAAAGTGGAACCCACATGTTGATTTATCTCAACCTTTGTGTGTATCAGTAATTGCAAAAGAAATGAAGAAAATAAAACTAATGAAAAAAGTTTGAAAACTTTGAGTTTTAACGATAAAGATAAAATAAATAGTAAAGTAAATAGTATCAAGTTTGACTTTTTAGGGTAAAAATGTAATTTTTCGTTAAAGTGAACAGTACCACAGGCTTTTCGTTAAAACTTCCAATAAAAAATCCAACGTTCATTTGATTCACTTCATGTTACATCAAGTTTACTAATTTAGTACATAGAAGAAGAATATCCTATAGCCCAACTGTTCTTTCTTCCTACATAGATTTGGTATAAGGAAACTCCACTTCAATTGTCCGCCACTATCTGTAAAGATTGGAGAGAACCCTTGACTGATAAAGGTAATAAGACCGTCCATCAACACAGTTGTTTCAAGTGCACAAGCAAATGCCATAGATGTCTGTCGGAGCCGGAGCAAACTCGGAACATCAGATGCAAAGATTGAACACTCTTACCAACTCCACTACAAGGCCGGTTGATCCCGCATATTCCTTATTTTCTGCACAAACATAATTTTTTTTGTTGAAAATATGCAAACGACTTTGAAAAGAGATAAATCGAACTCAAAATCTTTGAACGCTAACGTAAAATAACGAAAGCTATAAGTCCTAAGTCGATTAGCCTCTATCTAATCCAACCACAACCTCACATTTTGTCACAACCACTGCTTTTCTGTCCGTTTCTCACACACACACACCCATCACTCACCGTCACGTTCCCTCGAGATCATAACAATAAAAATAATAATAATAAATAAATCAACGAGTAAAATTTTCACACACAAGATGATGAAAATCTCCACCCAAATAAAGGAGGCAGACAAGCACGCACCACACAGAAGCTTTCTAATCCGCGCTTCTTCATCTCCCAATTTTTTCACCTTCCTCTCTCTCTCTAACACAGTCAGCCATGTTTGAAGAATCCGTGACATCCCTGCCATCAATTTGGGCTTCCATGAACAGCTGGTTCACTCCCACTGTTCTCTTCCTCCTCCTCAATGTCATGATTGGCACCATCGCCATTGCTTCAAACTTGGGTTCCACCCAGAAACACGAGGACCCAGAGCAGCAGCACCACCAGAACCACCATCAAGGCGGAGGCATCGCCAGATCTCCGTCTATGCTGCAGAGGCTCAAATCCATCAACCTCTACCAGTACAGATCCCCGGAGCCACACTCCGCCACTTTCGAGAAACACCCGGAAACTACTGAGGATACCCATTACGCCTTTAACCACGCCCACGAGTTTGAACAGCCCCAGTTCACCAGATCCCCTTCTCTGCTGCAGCGGCTCAAGTCCATCAATTTCCACATTCCACAAGATTTATCCAACAACCCATCTCAGCCCATCGCCGACGCAGCCCCTCCGCACAAAACCCATGAGCCGGAATCCCATTTCGAGCAAGCTCCGGAGCAGGAGGAGTTCCCAGATGACGACAGTTTGGAAGAACACGAGCACCCAGAACCAGAAACTCCAGATTTTTCAGAAGCAGGGGATAAACAGAGGGGCCTGGAGGAGATTTTCAGCCAGCTGAAGCCGTTACGGGACCGCCACGTGAACCGGACCAAGTCGGACACCAAGCCGGCGTCCGGCGAGGTGCCCGTCAAGCTCCCGCAGAAGATGAAGAAATCTGCGAGCTCCAAGTCTGCTTTTGCTCATTTCCAGGAGGATGATATCGTCGAGATTCGCCGGCCGGCGACCGTGAGGGAGAGAAAGGTGGCGAAGATGGCGGAGGATGACGAGGAGGTGGACGCCAAGGCGGATGATTTCATCAACAAGTTCAAGAAGCAGCTGAAGATGCAGCGGCTGGATTCGATCGTAAGGTACAAGGACATGATCACTCGAGGGAGTGATAAGTGAGAGAAAATTTTAATTATTTTCCAGAGTTTGGGTGGATTTTTAATTTCTCTTAATTCTGGGGTGGGCTGAGTAAAATTAGGAGTTTAATGGATGTAATGTTGATTTGCTCACTACCACTCTGCAGCTTTCTGTCTGTTGAACTATTTGTTCAAACTTGTATTCCTAAGATTAATTCGCAGTTAGTACGGCACGGAACTGTGATTTATATGTAAGAAGAAACGACGGAGTAAGTATATTCATGTGATGAAAATATTTGTCTCCGGCATTCCGGCCTACCAAGGATTTTAAACAATCTTTACCGTTTGATTATTTAAAATCGATGCTCAATCTTAACCGGTCATTTTTCGGCTTCTTAGTAATTCTGTCTATTGAAGAAAAATTGATTGAAAATGTCATGTTGTCATTTGATTTTCTAGAATCAATGCTTAATCTTCACCGTTTATTTTTCGAACTTTTCAATAATTATGTGAAAAATTGATTGAAAATGTCATGTTTGTTTTCTAACTTTCCACTTTGTTGTACCCCATGTGGGTTTTGGGGTGTTGTGTAAGGAGTGGTAGCTGGCATTGGTTGGTTGCAGTCTTTGTTTTCCGTAAAGTTTATGAAATGAGAGGCCCTCGTCAGTTCATATTTTGGTTTTTATAAATTGTTCATCAAGAAGGATTACCGACAACGGGATTCAAATTTACATCTTAATTTAACGAAGAGAACAATTCTTACCTACTTAAAACTCTGATTGGCGTTGGTTGCAGTCTTGTCTTGCAGAGTTGGGTTTGATATGGTGGTGGTAATATATGACTATATACATATTTACGAATCTATACCAAAACGAGAAAACTCCTCCCCTAATATCGCTTGTAACAAAAATTGAGTTCCTATTATTTTATGACCTTTTTTCATATTTACAGAGACTGCCGGAATAAGGCAACACAGTTGCAGGGTGACTATACATAATTATGTATCAAACTTATCATAAATATACATCATTTTTGCCAACGTGAGGCATCCTTTAACTATGTAGGAACGAACATCATTAAATTAAAGACTTGTTTGTTTAATTTTATTACAATTTAGAAACGATCCGAACTATCTATCTTAAAGAACACTATTCATAAATCATTCTTGCACAAAATTAGACAAACAAAAAACAATTAAAACTTTTATTTGTAGTGAAGAAAATGAAAAAAATACGGTTATACATAGAAACCCTTAATCCAAAGATTACATGGTTTCATATTTGGTTGATTTTTGATAGACATGACATTTGAAAGAAAACCTAAACAATAGACAATTCGTATTGTTGAAATATATTACGAAGTGAAGCCTACCACAACGTATGTAAAAAATTTGTAAAAAAGGTAATGTTATAGATCCGTCTCCTTATACATATGTATGGGGCAGTTTGGGCAAATCAGATTGGTTTTCTTCCTTTGTGCTTATCCGCATATTTAGGTTGTGTAACACGTGGGGGAGTTTGTTCCGTTGTGTGCATTTTGGCTCTTCCAAATTTAAGATAATATGTGGATATATAATTTGCTAGGATTTACTTTTTCGGATCCTTTTTGTGAGGATTTTAGGAATTTTCACATTATGATCGTTCATCGTATATTGTACGGTCATTTTTTGTTAGACACTATTTATGTTTAATGTTAAATAAAAAAATTCAATATGATTTTTGACCATACGATATAAGCTAAACAGCTAGGATGTGAGGATTCCTATGATCCCCATAATTTGAATCCGGATAGGATCCAAATCCTTACTAATATACCTCATACTAAGGGTGCGTTTATTGCACCAAACTATCTTTGACTGGATTAGCTTCAAAGACTAAGTTGGATTGATTTAGTAAAGCATTTGGTACTATATCGGACTAAAAAGTATGACTCGTATATTATATTACTTAATCTATATTTACAATATTTTATTATTCATTTAATCTGTATATACTAATATTTTATTATTAAATTATCTTTTTCATTTCTAGAATCATTTTTCGTCTTTTTATTCTGGTTAAACTCTCAATCATCTTCCTTCTCATTTTTTTTCTCTAGGCACTGCATCCCTCCCCTCTCCCCTTTCTCTACCCTTTTTTGTACCACTGTCGCTTTCCCCTTTCTCTTTTCTGTCCCGTTTCACCTCTAATCACTTACTCCTATCCATTTTTTTCTCGACTGACTTCGAATTACTTGGGCCTTGTTCTTTTTCTTCAAATTATGAAACCTTGTATTTATTTTGTTTCACCTGAAACGGCTTGGCGCGGGAGCTACAGTATAGCGGATGGATCTGAAATTGTGGAGATTGTTTTCTGATTCTAAGTCCTTGAGGTCGAGGTCGTTATCTTTGTTTGTTGGGTCTGGTTCGAGTTCAATTGACGAAAATGGAGAACCCAATTCCGCATATCGAATCAACTGTTCCTTCTTAAAGCAAATAGGGGAAATCTGGGTTGTGGGTTCGTCGAGAAGTAAGTAGGGAGTTGGGTTGTGGGTTCGTCGGCGTGAAGGCAGAACTTTGGTGACTAGGTTCGCGGGACGTTGGTGACTGGGTTCCCGTAGTCTAGCAGGACGAGGACAGAGGGAAAGAGTGGTGGTCTGGTGGTGTGATTTTGGAGTGAGGACAGAAAGCTAGCAACGCAAGCAGTAGCAAAGAGAAGTCTTAGCAATCCCATGGTTATTGAGGGGGGGGGGGGGTTCGCTAAGAACTCGTACTGAAGGGTTTTGTCCATGCGAGTCCCTTTTAGTCTCATTAATGTTAATCTCAGCACAGAACAAACAGGGTATTTGACTAACAGTTAGTCCAGTCTAATCCGATGACGCTTAGTAAGGGCAAACAAACGCCCCTAAATGTCTTCTTATTCCTTTGGTTGTGGTCCTCATATTATCAATGTCTTATATTCACCTCTGAACGCGATCATCAAAGGGACCACATTAGAGGGTAAAAACCCACTTTTAATCTTTAACTTAAGCACTTTTGGCGACAACGGGTCTAAATTATCCTTTTTAATCTCCATCATTACTATTAATTTCTATCGTTGATCATTAGGTAATTGTTTGAGATGTACTGGTATAATAATGCGCTCACAATAAAGTTGCGGTGAAGTTAACAACTAGGTATCGAATTCATAACAAACGTATATCATTCTCGAACCTGTATGGTCGAACTTGAGATCACCTCCCTCGAGAAAAGTTTCAACAACTAGATTATGAAAGTTTTATAGTTAGACGTTGGGGTTTGTGATGAGATTGTGAAGTTTGATGCTTGGGAATTAAACAAATTAAAAGGATGAGATGCACTAATTGTTGTGGAAGCAAAGCATTGTCGTTTGTAGGTCTTATGGCTCAATACAATAATTGATTAATTGTAATTTTGGAACACACACAGAGATACCTTTGAGTTTCACAAACTTTAACAACTTTAACCAGTGGTTTTATGGATGGGTCTACTAAGATGCTCAACTTGATGATTATTATTTAATTAAATAACCAAGTTGTTAAAATACTTAATCAAAACCATTAAAATAAATAATAAAAAATGTAAATATAAATAAAAAGCAAAAAAAAAAAAAAATGTACTTGGGAAGTTGTATAGGATCGAAGCTTAATGACTCGTTGGGGAGTGCTTTTAAAATAACTAAAAACTCTTTTAGTGAAAATGTTTTAAAAATAATTCTGTAGTAAAAATGAAAGTGAATCCTGAAACGTCATCAGAAGTTGGTTATATTGGTAAGGTCTATGTATTATGTCTTGCCTCACCAAAGTTCGAGTCTCACTGCTAACAATCTTGTATTGGTGAGCAATCTGTATAAACTAACAAAAGGAGCGCATACTCCTATATAAGTCCTCAACAAGGCTTGTTATATGCCGTAACTTTGGGATAGGATAGCTTTCCCTTCCCTCAAACTTTCTTTTACACAAAAAACAATGAGTCATGAAAAAATGCTTGAAGTATTTGATAAAAGCTTTATAAAAAGTCTTCAATTACTTTTGTAATCTAAATTTTTTTTTTAAAAAAAAAAACAATTTCAATGGGCAGATTAAGCAAAAGTTGTGGGAATATTTTATGCATATTCTGCCTGATTAAATGCCTCTTGATTGGAAATGATTAGTTTCTGCAGTGAGTCTGATGGCAGTGTCGTAGCGTAAATGTGTAGGATTTTGGATGGAAAATGACACGCTTCCACAAATATATGGCTTCTCACCCCTCGAGCATCTTATAAGTGGAGTTTCTGTGTAAGGACAGCTATCGTATAAAATGAATAGAGACAATGAATCTTTAATGTATTAAAAAATGAGTTCTTAAAGTATAGGGATTCGTCGGATACTTAGTGCATGTACCCACGTATAAGAACTTTATAGGAACTGAAATAGTAGACTCAATAGGACAGTTTAAGTGAAAAAGCAGGCGTGAGTCCTATTCACTTAAAAACCTCAAATTTAGGGATTATATTATAAGAGCATCCCCAGCGTGGGGTTTAGCTCGGGGGACGGGCTCCAAAACGGAGGCCCGAGTGAAGGTGGACCAGCTCCAGCGTTGGGAAGCCGGGGGGAAGGGGAAGGCCCGAGGGCCAGGCCCGTGAGGAATCGACAGGCCTTGAGCCCGGGGTGGGAGTGACGCCATGCTGACGCCAGCGTGGCGTCAGCCTATTATTTTATTTTTTTTGTGTCAGGCGCGTGCACCCCACCCGCGCGTGGGGGCGCGTCCTGACACATTAATCAGAAAAAAAAAAATGTTTGTCTGTTACCGTTGGGAAGCCACGTGGCTTCCCACGGTACGTTAGATCGTAACGGTCACTTAATGTGGACCGTTAGATCTCAACGGTAAAAAATTTTCAAACTGTCAGATTTAATATCCACCGTTCGATCTGAGATCAACGGTGGATATTAAAATGCTTTAAAAATTAAAAAATAAATGAAAAAATAGTTTTAAAAATCTGAAAAGTTACCGTTGTGACACGTGGCACAATCTGGAGCGTTGGAATTCAAATTTTTTTATATCCAACGGCAGAGATTAATTAATTGAATAAAAATTCAAAAAAAAATGTAAAAAATTCAAAAAAATTCAAAAAAAAATCTGAAAAAAATTGTAAAAAAAATTGTTTTTACTTTTCTATAAATACCTTCTCATTATCATCTACCTTCACAACAATTTCATATTTTCTCAACCACTTTCAATCACATTCCTTTCTTTGTCTCAAAGTTTGAATCAATTTTTTTTCAACAAAATGACCACTGGTGCAGGTACGAATTGGTCGCTTATTGAAGATGTTGCGTTGTGTACTAGCTGGGTTGAAGTTACTCATAGTTCGCTTACGGGTAATGAGATGCAGTTAAGAGAAATGTGGAGTCTTATTCATACCAATTATCTTGAGAAAATTGGTGGGAAAAGAACCAAAGAATCGATGTCCAGTCGTTGGACAAATGTCGTTCCATTCTAAAACGACGTCTAAAGTACGTATCAGGGAATGCACTATTAGGAACAAAATAATCATCCAAGAGTTCCATACCTCGTCGTTGCCTGCTTCTATCAATGTTTCCGGAACGCCTGGGCCTGCAGATCTGAGCCGCAGCTTGGATGACTCGACGGGAATGTGAGGCTCTGCCCCTTCTTACGTCGTCATCTCTCATTTGACGCTCCTCATCTTCTTCCCTCTCATTTCTTACCCGCTGCTGATTGAACATTGATTCTGATTGGTTAAACAAGTCTTCCTCTTCCTGATTCAATTCCCACATCATCCTTGACGAAGAAGAAGAAGACATTGAAAGAAAGAAACAGAAACTATGAATATTGAAACTGATTTTTGTGAATAAGGAAGCAGAAATTATGAATAATGATAGAGATCTTGAGAATTTTGGTGTGAGATTTGTGAAGATGGAAGGTGGATTATATAGAGGATTCAGAAAGGATTAGGTTCTGCATAATGCCACGTGGCATGCCGTCATTCGTTAAAAATCTAATGGAAATCTATCATCCAAGATTGTTAACAGATTATGACACGTGGCATGCCGTCATTCGTTTAAAATCTGATGGAAATCTATCCTCAAAGATTGTGAACCGATTATGACACATGGCGCGACGTGATTGGTTAATAATCTTATCAGAAATCCATATTATAATTATTTATTTTGTATTATTTAATAATACTTAGGATAATGACACGTGGCGCACCGACAACGATTAAAAATCTTATCCGATATTACATTTAAAATTATTTTGTATTAATTTTATAAATAAAAAAAAAACTAATATTTTATTGCCTATTGCCAGGGCTATAGAAGTGTAACGGTGGAGATGCAAAATCTATTGCCAGGGCTACTTACTGTTCATTAAGGGCAATTACTGTTCATTAGGTGGATTGAATAGTGAATTGCCAGGGGGGAGGGCTCCAACGCTGGAGTTGCTCTAAGGACACTCCCATTAGAGACAATATTCCTTTAGGGACACATAGATTCCCTTTAAGTCTTTAAATGAGTACTCAAAGGTAGTGATTGGAGTCCCTAAATAGGGACTCACATTGGAGATGCTCTACTCCTAGTGTACATGCACACAAATACTATTATCAAAAGTATATTCTGAGCTAGTTTAATTGGTAAGGTTGTTGTCTTGTATGTCACTCTACGAAGGTTTGAGTTTCGCTGCTAACAATTTTGTGTTAGTGGCCGATCTTATAAAACCAAAAAAGGGGACATAGACTCCTCTGCAAATCCTCAAAAAGGTTTGTGGTATACACTAATCCTGTGATGGGGTAGCCTCTCCTCCATCTAAACTTTCATTCACGGAAAGATCATATATTCTAAACTAATAATTCGAGGCTACGTGTTCTAATTTTTCACATATCGTCATATGATTTGTCTTAAAATCTTAATTTTTGGCAAAAAAATTTCAGAGCAATATGTGTAAAATTTAGGGGTGGGCACTTGGAACAGAAAGCCAAAACCAAAACATGAACCAAATTGGACCGCACCGAACAATTTGATTTTACCGTTTTGAAATTGAACAACATTGTAGGGAGTGGTTTGGTTTTGGTTTTGGCTTTTGAAAACTGCACCGAAACCGAACCGCATTGCAAATACTAATAAACATTTAATTAGATGTCCATATGAGATGTCATGTTTTAATTAGTTGTTTGCTAAAGTTCCATACATTTAGTATCTACTCAACCGCACTAAAATATCATCATTCATCATTTGTTGCATGTTTGCTTGCATCAAGTTTGCTTGCTGTACGTTTGTTTGTGCGTACATTGTCCTAATTTTAGACGGAAATAGATTATCAAAACATTCTCACTCAGTGTACTCATTGTTAACATGCATTCATTAATTAATGTATATGTGTAGAAAATGAGACTGTCTTATGTGTAGATAGGTGTATATTTTAAAATGTACGTTTCTTTCTTAAAAATTGAACCGAACTGAACCAAATGGTTTGGTTTTATTTCTGTTTTGGCTTCAAAATCGCACCGAATCAAATTGCAAAAAGTTTCAGTTTCGGTTTCGATTTCACTCAAAACCACATTGAACCAAACCGTGCCCATCCTTAGTAAAATTTTTAAACTAATTAAAAGCTAACATTAATTTTTTTAATCTTATATCACTTGAGTTAAATCTTTTACGCAAAAATAAAGGCATTTAACTTCAACGTGTCACCGACTATATGTCTTCTTGCATGTAATGACAATGAGAGAGATAAAACACAGAGAAAGCTCTATACCACGTTGGTGACTCTACCTCAAAAAAAAAAAAAAAAAAACCTGCTAATAACGAAAAAACATACAGTCTCCGTGAATTATTATCGTACATGAGTCATTTATTGCTAAAGAAGGATAAATTTTTAATTGTGATGAGAATACGAATGATGTTTTTATGTAAATGGTGAGAAATTTTATCTTTTAAGTTATTAACTTCTTAACACACATATCACACAATTTATATAGTAACACGTAATGTATTATTTCGTATGACAGTCACACTGAAAAATCTCTCGTAAAGAAGAGGTTCGATATGAAGTGGCGCGACTGCCTTTTGACTTCCACCACTGTCATCTATTGCTATATCACAGACAATTTTACACCTTTGATTACCAACATCAGTCCCACGTGGGATATTTTATGATCCTGACACGTCTGACCTTTAGCCAAACCAAAACAACAAAACAAACGACTCGACGAATCCATTCCGAAAGGGACTTTTTCGACCACCACCACCACCACCACAAACAACCACCGCGAAGGTGCCGAATTTTCATGTCACCAACCAGTCAGTAACTTTTTTCGAAAAGAAAGTTGGCACTTCGTCGAACATATTCGAATCATTATTAGAAAGAGGAAAGAAGCGCAGTGAGTGAGTGGCTTTTAGAGAGAGAGGGAGGGAAGGTGTGGATGGCAACTCAGCAGCTTGCAATCAGAGGGAAGAGACGGCGGATATGGGGAGGAACGTTTCTGTGTTGGGTTTTGTTAATGCTGGTCACTCCCAAGATTCCTCACTCCCCTAAACAGCATCTGTACGCCGACATGCGCAATTTTCTGGGTAAATTTTTTCATTTTCTCTCTTTTTTTCTTCATCTGAAATTTATGTTTTTGATTGATTTTATGATCTGGGTTTTTCACAGGAGTGCCTAATACCTTGAACGTGATCACAAATTTGCCCTTTTTGGTTGTTGGCGTTCTGGGTTTTGTGCTCTGCGTGCAAGGGGGGCTTTTCAACATCAGGGTTTGCACTTTCTGGATTATTTATTACTTCATGCAGTGATTTTGTTTGTTGCATTGAGTTCAATGGAGTTTGATATATATATATATATATATATATATATATTTGGTTGGTGTTATTTGGAAAATGGTTTTAGTTTGCCAGGCGAGGTTTGGGGTTGGGCGCTATTCTATGCTGGAACAGCAGGGGTTGCATTTGGGTCCGCTTATTATCATTTGAAGCCTGACGATAGTAGAGTAGCGTCGGACACCTTGCCGGTTGGTATTTCAATCAGTCTCAGGATCACTCGGTTTTAGCTGTTGTTAGTGACACTTGCTCTGGTTGTTTGTTTGTTCATTTGTTTTCGCTTTCGTTGAGATGCTTGAGAGAGTTATTAGTGACACTTGCTATAAAAATATCCATTACTTGTTGATGACTAATTGAGAAAACAATTCCTGAAATATACCCGAGTTGCAGTTTTGTACATGAATTCGAAAGTAGATTCTGTTGTCTTTAGTCTTGAACTTCTGTTGCACCGTTGATCCTTCCGTTAATTTCAAAATTAGAAGTGTGTACTTAACGATTAATCAAATTTTCACTCAGAAGGGAAATATGAATGTGTTGTGGTGCAATTGTTTACCACGGGAGGTTCCTAGAAAGAGCATGAGTGAACGAAAGTAATCAATTGTTGAGGTCCGTGATTTTGTTGTTAACCAAGTATCTGGATCCTAGTCATGCACAATCCGTTTCTCTCTGTTTATTTTCATTGTTGAAGTAGATTCTGAATTGCAGATGATGATTGCATACTCCTCCCTTTTCTCTAGTTTTATAGTGGAGAGAGTGGGAGAACAGATCGGTTTAAGCTGTCCGTTTGCATTTCTTTTCTTTGCTTTTCTGAGCATTGCATATGACAGGTCAGTGTTGTACTTTAAGTTTTGTATTACCTCCGCTGTGGTGTTGCGCTAAACTCTTAATGGAGGTATGGATGAGTTTCTTTGCAGAACGTGTAATGATATCAGGTTGTACACGATGTTCCAGTTGATTCCTTGTATAGCAATTCCAACAATGTCATGTGTGTTCCCACCAAAATATACTCACTCAAGATTTTGGCTTTGGGCCGCAGGTAGGCCATGTTCTTTAATCTTTATTTTCTTGAGTAAAAATAGTATGATTTGTTAATCAGTCCATTTACCGCTCCCTGCACAAGTACAGAAATGGTATTTTTATTAGTCCGTTGTAAACCTTTTCGTTTCTGGGTGTAGCTTATTATAATATCTATATTACTAAGCATTCCACCAAGGATCATTCCGATCCAATGAGAACGGTTGATTACTACAAAGTATAGAAGCAATGCTTTCTTCAGTGAAAAAAAAAGCAAATTCTTTACAGGGGTTTACCTTCTCTCCAAATTTGAATCTGTTGCTGACAACAAAATCTACCATGCAAATCATTTCATTATCAGCGGACACTCGTTGGAGCATTTGTGTTTAGTGATGGTCCCTGTTCTGCTCAGTATTATGCTCATGAATAGAAACATTAAATGTCAAAGGTGCGATAGTTTTGTATTTCGTTTGTACTTTTCTCACTATATCATGATCTGTGTGAAATGAAAGGTTAAATTGTTTGCCTTTTCTTGTTGGTTTAAAATGGCTATCCCATGTTTCCATTTTTTACTGATGTGATTGAATTTATCGGCTGAAACTTGGGGAAATTCGGGAAAGTACTTCTTCCTCTTACATAATGGTCTTGATAACAGATTAGACGCCTTTAAAGAACGCTTGTGATAGAGGCAAGGAAGAGATGATGGCGTTTTCTGCGCAGCGGCTATCAGATGCTCGAAAACTTTCTGTAGATGAGGATTCATTGCAGGTAAAGACTGATCTGTAGTACTCTCCAGTTTTTGTCAAACATTTGTCTCTGCCATTGAGCAATTAGATTAATCAATTTTCGGTTGAATAAATTATTATCCAAGTGCAAAACAAACATGAATTTAGTGAAGCATGCCCCTTCCCCTCTAATGAACAGCTCTCTCTCTCTTCAGCTGTGACGTGGTGACTGCCCATTGGCCGCCACAGCGCAGGGGAAAGTGAAAGAGGTTCAAAGGCCCAAGTTTTGTAACTGTAGTTACTGTAATTGTGTCAAACCCTAAATTTGAGTATTGATATGGTCTGCGCGAGGGCAACCAACCTCGCTTAGCGAAATAAGACTTTGATATTGTGGTTGTCGTAAAGCTTCTGAGGGAATAATTGAAATTACACATATCACCTTTGGAGCACATGTATGGCATTGGCACAAAATTCCTTCACATGTATACATGTGCACAAAGGAACAAAGGCATGTTTTTGTATCATGTGATGTCAGCATTGTTTTAGAATTTATATGAACATTTATTTTTTAGAATATTATGTATTAAAAGTAAATACTCATATAATGTAATAATTATATTTTATGGACTGGAGGAAAGCAGCCCAAACCAACACATTCCCATTTCAACCCAGAATCCAAAGTTGGTGGACCCATCACCATGAAACTTCTCTTTCCCTTGGCAAAGCCCAAACTGAGAAAAAGAAGGATGACGATTATACACCTCAAAGTGAACCGATATTGTAATCTACTCTAATTTATGGGAAATGAGATCCGAACTAGGGTACAAGAGAGTCGAGACACTGTCTTGATCAACTGCCGTAACCTGCATTTATCATTTCCTTCCACCATTTTGTTGCTTGATCAAAGTGAAATTAGGGTTAATCGAAATCAACTTCAACCGTTTTAAATGAAAATCTTGTGCAATTGGTGGATTGTCTTAGGTTCAAACTCCGCCAGTTGATTGACATAGCTGGTTCCAAAAGCCATAAGAAACCTTACGATACGAGGGGAATTTCCATAGAAACTTTACCAACAAAATTTGGTGGGCACAAGGCTTAGCATCCCATTATTGTCACACTCATATTAACAATGAGATTAGGAGATAATTTTGTTAATTGTGTTCAAGACTTAGGAGTAAAGTTAAATGCAACCACTGAGCCACACTGAGTGTGATTAGTTAACTAATTACTGTGGAACCTGCGTCAAAGTCATGATTAAATTATTGTTAACCTGCCACCTAGGGTCGTCGGTGGGGGTACTATTTGCTTTTATGGACCTTGCTTCCTTGTCTCTTCTCTCGTTTCCCTCACTATAAATAACATTTTACATATTTCCCAATTTAAAAAATAAAATTAAAATTGATCCTTCACCAACCAAAATGCTAAATGGGTCCAATTTAATGTCGTAATACAATATTTAAAATAAATAAATAAATCATTTCTGCACCATAACTTTCTTTTTATGCACACGTCTGAAATTTTTTTTTTTTTTATCACAAGATATTATCTACATTAAGAGGGTGAGGGAATGAGGGTGAGTTAAGACTCACAATGGACCAGCAATAATGTGACTCAAATTTGCCTTTGACGAGAATCAAACCTAAAACTCTCTCACATACAAACAAAAGAGGAATATTAATAGACCGTAATACTAAGTAACCTTTCGGTTCAATCATAGCATGCACACGTTTGATTTAAAGGTAAAAATTAAACTGGTGTGTATATGAAGAGAAAATGAGTGCCTGAAAATCATTTTTATTAAATTTAAGTTGCTTATGGGCATTTAGGCTGACTTTGGTCATCCATGCATGTCAATGAAGATAGAGATTTTGTGTTTGCAGATTCTCGAGTTGCTGCTTTAGCACCTGCTTCGTGGGGTGGTGAATCAGATGCTTCATTCGTGCTTCTACTCGAGCTCTAGCTTCTGCTTTTAAACCTACCAACTACTTGGAAATTATTCCCGCAAGTATGAATTGTCAAGATCAACTCACACGGTCGTACTCCTAATACTTCACCATTTAATATTCATATCACGTTCTTTTCTTAATGTCCGATTACAAATCAAATTATGCGCGTAACAAATACTCGACGCTCATTAAAGCATGATCTGGTTTCTTACCACCTACCTACCCTAAGTATATTCATAAAAATATATAAAATAAAGGTGATGTTATCCACACGCATTATTTTACCTTTTACAGGCTACCAATCTCATGTTAATTTCTATTGTTTAATCATTTTTAATTCATTTAATCTGACGATCGAAAATTAAAAAAGATATGAAAAAAAATAAAAAATAAATGTGTGGATAGTACTGCTCTTAATATAAAAATTGCCATTATGTCAATTTTTAAGGAAGGTTAGGCTCTGACCCAAAAAAATAAAAAATAAAAAATAAAATGAAAGGTTTATTTTTAATTTTTTTTTATTTTTTTGAGGTAAAATAAAATGGAAGGTTAGGCATCAACATTTGACGTAAAAATAGAAATCCATCAACAAAATGGAAATTATGCAGAAGAGATTGGACCCCGCATTTCTGACAATTCACTCCATCACATCTGGACCATACAAACTAGATCACATCTCGAACTCAAACATAGGAGGATTTATTTGTCTTCTCATTTGTATTATTTTTATTGAAAATTAATTATTGGAGGCTTTAGTTGGTAAGCTTGGAAGGGATCCTCTTCGGATCTATTTCACCTAATTCTCTTCATCAAATAATTCGGATCCTTAAAATTTGATCTAACAGCTAAAATTATTGTAACTTTTAAAGTAGGCCTGTGTTTTTAATCGTTGGATCAAATTTCAAGAATTCAGATTGTTTAATAAGGAGGATTAGGTAGAAGGGATCCGGAGAGGATCCCTTTCTGAGAAGCTTAGTAAGAGTGATTAGTAATTAGTGATTAGTGATTAGTGATTAGTGATTCGTGCTTAGTAATATTTACAGGAAAGATCCATCTTAACATTGTGTGAGGTGGAAGCATCATCCCCCTATTTTTTTGGTTCCTTCATTCTCTTTCCCTTCTCATCCTTCACCCTCCTCCATCTTCTTCTCTCTCCAAAACCTCACAATTTCAACACCAATCCAGACCCTCTCTCTCAAATCCAAATCCAACCCATTTCTCGCCATGACAGACAGAGTTTACCCATCTTCCAAACCCACCGCCAATGGCGGCGCCGCCGCCGCACCCGCCGCCGCAACCACCGCCGGTACCACAGCCAACCCACCAAGTACCAAACCCCAACCCAGACAGCCATACCGCCCGAAACCCCAGTACCACAACCGTCGCCACCGCCGGAGCAGCCGTAATTTATGCTGTTGCTGCTGCTTCTGGTCCTTCCTCATCCTCATAGCCCTCGCCCTCCTCGCTGCCATAGCTGGAGCCGCGGTCTACATCCTCTACCGCCCCCACCGCCCCGAGTTCACCCTCACGTCCGTCCGCATTGCGAAGTTCAACCTCACCACCACCGCCGACTTCTCGACCTCCCACCTCACCACGCTCTTCAACCTCACCCTCACCTCCGAAAACCCCAACAACCACCTCACGTTCTCCTACGATCCCTTCAATCTCGTCCTCTCCACCACCAGAGACGTCCAAGTCGCAAACGGGTCGATCCCGGCGTTCACGAGCGCCACGAAGAACAGCACCTTCTTCCGCTCCGTACTGTCGACGTCGCAGGATCTCGACGTCGAGTCGGTGAAGTCGCTGAGATCGGATCTGAGGAAGCAGAGCGGGGTGGCGCTGAAGCTGCAGGTGGACACCGAAGTGAAGGTGTCGATGGGGAAGCTGAGGAGCAAGAAGGTGGGGATTAGGGTTACGTGTGAAGGAATCAAAGGGGTTGTACCAAAAGGTAAGACACCGTCGGTGGCTTCCGTTGCCAACGCCAAGTGCAACGTTGATCTTCGGATCAAGATCTGGAAATGGACCTTTTAATTACTTTTATTTTCTTTATTACTTAAATCGTGGGTTTTTCGAGGGGGGATTTGTAAACTTTTGAGAAGGAGGATTAAAAAGATAAAACAAAATGGTGATCACAAGAAAAATTAAGTAGGATTTGGGGTTCAAATTAGAATCCATCTCTTCTTTTTTCTTTTTTCTTTTCAATACTTTTTGGGGATTGTAAGTGATGAATTTGGCTTTTTTATGGCAATTAATTTTCATATTATTTTCTATTTCATGCTACATTATTATAGTATTGTTGCTTTGTTTCTCTGTGTAATTTTGTCTTCCAAATGTGTGGCATTTGGCTGAGTGTAATAAGTGCATACTTTTCAGTGAAGGCCGATGAACAGAGCATCACTAAAATACCCTAATTAGAACAAAACATTTGGTTACACGGCAGAATCTCTCCTAATTAGGCAGCTCGGTTGCATTTCTTGTAATTACGCGTAATTGTGCATTCAAGGAAAACAGAACCGAAAATGCAAGCTGTTTTGCTTTGCTTTTAAGCTGTTTTTATGGTATTATGATTCTTCTTCTGCACTCTTCGTTTTGTTTTGGAGTGATAATTTGTTTACGCATCTCTCGCATGTTCTTTGATTTGGAATCTTGATGCTAGAAACAAAAGAATAAGTGCAGAAGAAGAAGAATAATGAGTACGAAATCACTTTGCTTGTATTCGTGTATCCCATCAAATCATCTTAGAGAACAAATTTTCTAGAAAAATGCTTTTATTGGGTAAAATACTGGTCTATGCATTTAGGTGGAAAAAGTAAAAGGCAGTGCTATTCATGCACGCGACTCTTTTTATATTTCATGTTAATTTCTGTTATTTATTTTTTTTTAATTTATTTATGTGCTCGGTTGGATGTGTGAAAGATAAAAAATAATGTGTAGATAACATCACTCACAGTAATAGCACAAACCCAGCAGAAATCTAGTGATCAGATGAAAAAAGAGGGGCGGTGGATTTTAGTGGCTGTCGTTACTAATTACGATGGACTTTTTACACAGAGTCTCACAGATAGATATACATTGACCTTTTTCGAGTCTCTCTGACTTGATAGCTGTGAGTTTTTCAGGTTCACATTAATAAAATAGTGATATTTACATATATATTTTTATTTTTATATATTTTTTAATTTTTTAATTTTTTATTATCAGATCAAATGAATTTAATAAAATTAAAAAATAAAAATTAATAAGAATGTGTAAAAAATATTTTTAGTACTGCCCGAGAATATATAATAAAACCCTAATTGTTTTTGGCATTCAATAAGCTCACGCCACTCTCACTGACTCACTGGTTTTTAAGGTACTAGAAATCCAAGGGGTACCCACTTCTTTGGGTGACCTTAATGGATTTAATGGCCCTCCGGTCAACTCTCATATTCCCTATATTCTTTCGGTAAAAAGGATATTATTGTTTACCAGCAAATGTGTCTTTGTTTAATGAAGACGAGGGTTGCTGATTAACATAGCACATCGTGCTCGAGTGCTCCAAATCCAATGTCCTCATTTTCTACTACGTTCAAATAAATAAGGACAAGGGGTACTAGGTGTCGTGGTGGCCTCAGGCGTGAGCTGATTATGATCGTTTATATTTTGTGAGTTTCACATGCATGTATGGCTAGATTAGTTCACATTTGTGTGCATGATTGATCTTAATCAGCATTTTTTCAATAAACATACGAATTAGGGAACATGTTGAACAAGATCTTATGGATTCAAATGACATATTCATAACGGATAAATTGCACTTACAAGAGGGCATATGACAATTATCTTTTTGTTACATTGGAATGTCGAACTTTAAACCTATTTGTAATCCTAAGACATTTCCTCATTCTTATGAGTCTTCTCACTACTTGTGCGCTCACTCTAGTGACAAAATGATAACTATTTTGTGGTCCGCTATCATATTACGCTCATATGTTGTATACTGAAGTTCCATATGACAAATTTGATTTGCTAGGTTATTGTTTGCTCTTCTTTGTTTGGTAGCAATGAGAATAATAATAGCATCTGTTAGAAAGTTTGCCTCTCTAAAAACGTACTTGATGTTTTTTCAAGATACGATCGTGAAGGAGAAAACCACCCTTTTTCTTTTTGTGGGTAATAATAAGAATGATAATTGGATTACATTTTGGTAAGTAGACTTGATTTGCAAGTAAAAACGTGATTAGCCCACTGATGGTGGTGTCTACTGCAAATTATGCAAAGTTGATCTTATTGTTAATACTAGAAAAAGTGCCCGCGCGTTGCTTCCCGTGTTTTAAATATTTTGGAAATATATCCATACAGAAAATAGAGGTCTCTTATGCTTCGAGTTTCAAAACTATATAGAACATGTAAAATTTGTAAATATATATACAATAGCTGACTATTTACATACATGAAGAATGTAGGAAGGAAAGTATAGTCATTTCATTCTGAATCAAGATCACTATGAGAGTTGAACATCAAGAACACTAATTCTGAAATACAAATTCAATTTCTCTCCATGTTAAAAAGCATGGAAGCAAAGAGACAAAGGACATAGTTTCTATTACCGGCAGAATTAGCTTGTAAAGGCTTGTCCACTGTTCTGAATACTGGTCTCCGCTGTAACCATCTTTAGAGAACTTTTCTGTAGATAATCCCACTGTAAAAAGAAATCCATGTTAAACTCAGAATGCGTTGCTATTGATAACACGTTTACAATGGAGAATGATCGGGATGTTAACGTTGTATGTCAATATATAAAATAGAACAAGACCACTAACAATCTAAAAATATCGTACAATTGATAATGATATGTACTTTTGGTAGATACTTTGTAATCAGAATGCAAAATATTGGGATGTCTAAGTTTTTGCAGGAGTGTTATCCTTAGAAGAGACGATGTTGTATCATTATTGCAGCAGCAAGCTATTATTACCTAAGATTGTTAAAAGTTTCGTCCTAAATACACTGAAACAAATAATACACCTTTAAACCTAAAAAGAAAAATTTCATCAAACATACATTATTACAGGATTGCACATACATTATTTTCGTTTACATGCATGTATCATCACAAAAGGAAATAGATAAAAAAAATGAAAAAGATTTAAACAAAATTTAAATGCACCAAAACTTGAAAAAAATAAACCCCGAGGAGCAACCAAATTCATCTTCAATATAAACTTAAACAAAATCAACTCCAAGGAACAACCAAATTTAACTCCAATATAATAAAACTTAAACAAAACTCTAAATCCACCAAAAATATAAATTGCTTACCTTGAGTACATAGGGCTTCTGAAAACAATGGCGTTCAAGCCTGAAAACAAAACCCCCAAAATCAGAAAAACGAAATTTGCACAGAAAACCGATTTCGAAATTCAAATTTACAGTTCCATACATACTCAGCTGCTCCTAAGGTATTGGCTAACCACGCAACAACGATATTAGCAATGTCCTGCGAGATCTGGCACTCAAGTGGATCAACTGGTACCCTAATCAACAATAAAATTAGATACTTCCAACACAAAGACTACCATTCACCCCTACAATATTATTAAGTTTGTAAACTCATCATTTGACATAAAATCCCCTTATGAAATGATGCAGTTGACATAGAACCTTTTACTCCATTTAAGGGCTCAACATTCTACATCGGAATACAATGCAACATTACAAATTACAAACAACAAAACACCGAAAAAAAAGAAAGGATACGGAAATGCATCGTCGCCACCATCCAAATTGACGACTGTAATTTTCCTGCGAGCCGAAAACAATGAAATGGTCAACGCAAACATTACAGATACAAAAAACCAAAGTCTTATAGGAGCTTCCTTGTACTACTCACACAACAAAGATTACGAACAACAAAACACGAAAAAAATGAAAAGGATACGGCAATGCATCGTTGGCAGGATCCAGACTGACAACTGCTATTTTTCTAGGAATCGAAAACGATGAAATGGTCAATGCAAACATTACAGACAGATTCAAGAACCAAAATTGAAGCCAAGGAAAAACTTGAAAACCTACAAAAACTCGAAATCTTATAGGAGTCCTATCTTTCCATAGTTTTCCTTCTTCAAAATAAGAACAGAAAGCTCTAATTTGAGTGCCTACACATATATACATCGGATAAAAATAAAAAATAAAAAATAAAAAATTCGAAACAACACCAGAAATAACAAAAATGATAAAAAAAACCATAAAAATTTTTAATCAAAAGTTTAAGACTTTAACTACTCACAGGAAGTCCTGTAACCAGTTGTAAGTGGATGCACCCTCGTTGGTGACCAATTGCAAAGTGGCCTTTTTGCCCAGCTCTGTAACCAATTGTAAAGTCGGCTTTTTGCCCAGTTCACTACGGTTTCATTTCATTTATTTTCATTCGTATGTAGATATATTTAATCATTGATTGCTATATGAACTCTAGAAAGCCACGAATGGAAGTTGGAGTATTAAAGGACTCAACACTTACTATTTAGTTTAAATACTCTATCTGCAAGTCTGCAAGTGAGCTGAATTCACAACCTACGCCAATTCAGAGCATAGAGTGTCACCTTCTTCGGACCCATAAATGGTCGAAAAGTTCTGAAATCAGCCAGAGAAAACTGGGATCCTCATCAGAAAAACCCACCAAGGTGCGCTTACGGAACTCCTCGCCTTTTAATCTGCATTACCAGAACAAAATGTAAATTCACCAGTCAAATGCGTGTATCAATTTCATAATGTAGTTTATTACAAAGATTAAGAAGCGAAAATTACCATAGCAGTAGTGGCAGCTCCGAAAAGGGCAATGAGGGATGGCACATCTACTTGGCCAACGTACGTGGCTAGGGCTTCAAACACTAGAACCCCGTACAATGCACATAAGGATGCTGCAAAAGAATTAACAGAAGAATAATTATCGCAAGAAACAGTTCAGTATAACTTAAAAAACTTTGGGAAGTTGATGGGGCATAATCGTCATATACCAATTGATTCATGAACCGTGACCATCCATCCAAGCGAACACATCTACATACACTGCGGTATGGTAGATATTTTATGTGCTCCAGATTGATTATCTGCAAAATATGCATCTATCGAACAACATAATAAGTCTTTATCTTAACAGAAAAAAAGAAACTACAAAATTTAAACTTCAATCTAAAAGTTATTCATTAATTTCTTCATATATAAGAAATTATTGCATAAAATGAATGTATCCAGTTCACCACAGAGTAGTAATCAATTCTAATTTGGTCTACATGATCGAATATGTGTGTGTGTGTGTATATATATATATATATCTGTATGTATACATAGCCATTGTATGAAAAGCCCTAACAGATTGAAGTGATCTCTTAAAACTCGATATGGAGCATCGTTCTCTTCCCATGTTTGTAGGATATATTACATGCTTCCACTTCAAGCATTCTGGCCAACAGCTATGCGGTCCATTAGACAAATTAGATGGTTTAGTACGTCCTACGTCATCAATCTCTAGCCCTAGATCAATATTGTGGAGTGGGGAACCTTTATCCCAAAAAACCTCAACATGCAGATGAGATATAACATTTGAATCAAGCAATTCATAGATACAAAAATTACTTACAAAACAATTTTGAAAGTAAGTAAAAAAAATCTGTTGTACGCCTATTACCTTCGCCGGACCCAAAAAAAGGTGGGAAATGCCTGAAATTAGCCAGAAAAAACTTGCATCTTCATTTGGAAAACCCACCGCAAGCTGGGCTTATTGCACTCTTCGATAGAGGGGCAAATTTGAACATGCAAAACTCGAATCTTGTTGTTAGGACTCTCCTGAGTCCCGGGAGAACTGCGAGAGGAAAGAGAGAGAAGGGATAAGGAAGAAATAAAAAAATAAAAAAAAATAAAAATTAATAGTGCATATATTATGCGATCCAGGGACACCATTGGAACAAGGTTAAAACTGTGAGGTTGAGACTCACCCAGAACATAAGAAGTAACTGCATAAAGTATTAACACACATAAATTATCTCAATTGAAGATCATATCATGTACAGCAAGCCAAAACAAACAATTTGAACTCAGACCAACCAAAACAAACAAAAGTCATTTCCCATGGAAGATTATCACAAAATCGCAGGACCCAGACAATCTAAATAAAGTGGGTTCTACGGGGTGGAAGAAAGCACAAAAGCTGCGGTGGAGCAAACCGGGGAAGGCAGGGTAGAGAAGACCCCACCGACAGAACCCGAGAACGGTGAATGGAGGGATGCCCCTTCCTCAGATTAGCAAATGGGCTTTTTCCACTGCTTTCCTTTCCGCGATGACCAACAGGTGTACACGCGAGGCAGAAAAAAAAACGCAACGGCAGAAAATGGCGACAGAGAGAAGCAAAACGAAAGGCAGAGAAATCAAACAAGAAAGCCTAGCGATGAAGAACGCGTGGCTAGCGAGGGCAAAATCGCCATTTTACTGTGCAAAAAGCCGAAAAAAAGACGCGGGAAAAAACCAATTTAAGAAGCATTTTTGTCCGCATTGTTCGTGAACAGTGCACTCAAGTTTGAGTTTTAGTAAAGAAATAACATGTGAAATTATTTGTACAACTGAATGATGCGTTAGTATTGCGATTAATTTTATGTGTCTAATTAACATTACATTTTACAATAAATGATTTTGGTTTTGACAATAAAGCAAAGTTTGCTTCTAAAACTTGAAATCATACTACCAAGTGTATTTGAAACAATGAGATGTGGTACAATTGAAACGACTATATTTAATGAGTTTAAATTTCATTGATGACTAATCTAACATTTAATCTAACAAAATATATCATTTGACAAAAAAATAAATAAAGATTTATAATGCAAAAGGCACCATGGACACTCATAGTTGTAATAAGCAGACAATTAAAATAATGAAAATCAAAACAAATGAGTCTCTTTCAATACTTACTGGCAGTGGCCACCACCCTGCCTACCACCTCAGAGTCGACCTCCCAAAACGTGTTTATTGCAACAACAAAAAGCCCCACCGACAAATGAACCCTTATTTATTATACATACTTTACCCCACTCACATATTAGGAAAAAACTTATGTAGCGGTGTCTAATCATGTTATCTGAATGTTTCGCTGCTTTCGCATAAGAATGTAGGATTATCATGTACATCAATTTCACACGACGCTTTATTTGATAGTTGTTTTGTTAGAATATGAGTATGATTGTGAATGCTAGAAAATGACTGTAGCGTTTTAAATTGATATGTAAAGGTCTTGTTGAAGAGTTTAAACTTGTTCTAATCGGTTTTGGATCAAAACTTTAATTAAATCTTAATACTTCCCAGTGACTTTTAATTTTGCACGAGAGAAGAAGGTGTACTATTTAAAGGTCTGCTTTTACTTCTTGTACGTTAGTATTACAGGTTCTAGGATCGAATATCTCATCTATACACTCTCCCGCAGTTTTGGAACAGTCTTTGGAGTCATGACAAATTGACAAGTGGACTCAACCACTTATCGTTTACCCAACGTCTCTTTTTTCCCGTCTCAACGTCTAGTTACTGGCGGTAATTTACCAATCTTGTAGCTGACCCTTTTTTGTTTGAGGGAATTTTTATTATGATTAAAATACGGGTAATATATTACGTATTATTGTATAAATGATAAAATAAATGTATTAAAAAATTAATAACTTAAAAAATGAAAATTTTCACTATTTATATTAAAATACATGGTACATCATCAGTTTTCCGGTGACTAACAAAAATTTCTCCTTTTGTTTCCCTCTTCCTTCCCTTTCTTCCCCAACTTTCCTGAGAATCTGAAGCAAAATCATCAGGAAAATGTTACAGAAGCAGAAGAGTTTTCATTTTTTCTCACTCTTCTTCTTCTTCTCCTTCTTCTCTCTTTCTCTCTCAAACCCAGAAACCACCGCCCTGCTGGCATTCAAATCCTCCGCCGACCCCTTCAATTCACTCTCCTCCTGGGTCGCCTCCTCCGACCCCTGCTCCGGCTCTTGGTTTGGCGTCGCTTGCGACCCGGCGACCCGCCGAGTCACCCGAATCGTTCTCGAGAATCTCAACCTGACCGGTTCGGCTCAGCAGCTCACCCAACTCTCCCATCTCAAGCTCCTCAGCCTCAACCGCAACCGCTTATCCTCCTCCCTCAACTTTTCCGCGTGGCACAACCTCAACCACCTGTACCTCTCCCACAACCGCTTCGACGGAGCCCTTCCAGCCGGAATCTCCCTCCAACGCCACCTCCGGGGCCTCGACCTATCGCACAACCAATTCTCCGGCGAAATCCCACTGGACGAGTTCGCTCAGCTGCCTCACTTGCTAACTCTCGCCCTCGAGTCCAACTCGTTCACGGGCATCCTCGCCGCAGCGGACTCGATGTCTCCATCGATTTCGGACTTCAATGTTTCGCACAACAACATCACGGGTGAAATTCCGCCGTGGCTGTCCAGATTCCCCGCGACGTCGTTCGCCGGAAACGAGAATCTCTGCGGCAACCCATTGCCGAACAAATGCTCCGATCCAACGGCCGCTAAATTGCCCGTACAATCCCGGAACCGACACGACAGCGTTTTCAGCAACGCTGCGCTGCTCGCGATCAGTATCGTCGGCGCAGCTATTACGCTTTTAGTGGTACTGTTGGCCGCCACGTGGTACTGTCGCACTAAAAATCGCGGGGCCCACAGGGAGACAGCCAACGGATACGGTTACGTGAGCAAGCATTACGGGCCAGGAGAGTTCCCGAGACAGAAGAGTAAAAGTGGGGCCCAATTGGCCCAGTGGGTCCAGTCTTATGGAAATGGGCCTGGTGGTGGGCCGAGAGAAAGCGAACACATGGCGGTGTTGGAAGGGTGCAGGGGCGTCGACAAGGTGGGGGATCTGCTGAAGGCGTCGGCGGAGATGCTGGGGAAGGGGAGCGTGGGGGCCACTTTCAAGGTGGTGATGGACGGCGGAGATACGGTGGTGGTGAAGAGGGTGAGGGAAAGGAGAAATGGCGGGAAGGAAATCGATGGGTTTTTGAGGCAGATTGGCGGGCTGAGGCACCCCAACATCGCCGCCCTCGGTGCCTACCACAATTCGAGCCACGAGCTGCTTTTGGTCTACGATTTCTTCCCGGGCGGAAGCTTGCATTCCGCGCTGCACGGAAACCGAGGACCTGGAAGAACGCCGCTTGCTTGGGCCGCAAGGTTGAAGCTCGCTGCCGGGTCTGCAGAGGGACTGGCCTTCCTCCATGGCTGCAGCAAATCCAAGCTCTTGCACGGAAACCTCACTTCGTCGAACATATTGGTAGATCGAATGGGGAACGCCTGCCTTGCCGACATAGGCCTCCAGCAGCTCCTCCCTGCTCCGTTTTCATCAACAAGTGCATACAGAGCTCCTGAACTGATGGTGTCCAATAATAAAACTCCGAGAAAGTTTACGCAGAAATGCGATGTTTATAGCTTTGGGGTGGTTCTGCTGGAGATTTTGACGGGGAGGATGGCGGTGGAAGAAGGTGAGACGAATTTGGTGGGGTGGGTTAAGACGGCGGTGCAGAAAGAGTGCAATACATGGGAACTATTGGATTTTGAGCTGTTGGGGGACAGAGCAATGGAGGGCGAAATGTGGGCTCTTTTGGAGGTGGCCCTGCTCTGCCTGACTCCGTTGCCTAAAGATCGCCCGACGATCAGCGTTGTGCATCGGATGATCGAAGGCATTCCGAACACGGGTGTTAGACAAGATGGGGCTAAGTTTATTTTAGATGAGCTCACTTCTGGTTCTTCTTCATCTTCACATTCTGCAAGAACTTCATGATTCCCAAAAGCTTCATTGTGCCTAATTTAATGCATAGTATGTTAAATGTTTTGTAAGAATCATTGAATAAAGAGAAATTGCAAAAAGACGAGTCGAACCTAAAATCTGCTAACCTTAAGTTGTATCACAAAGTCAACGAGTTACAAGATGACTGACATTATGACAATTAGATATGAAAATAAATTCCGAACCTTCATAGATGCCAAACGTTAATAACAATATCTTCTCCGTGGATACGTTTTAATCACGTTTCTAAATACACGCCGAATTCGCCGGCCGGAGAACACTATAAAAAGGCGCATGATGGAAGGTCTTGCCCATCACTTAATGGCTTCCTTTCCTTCGTCTATTGTCACTATAGTGTTTAAGTTCACCATTAGCTACGATTTTGTTACAAATTAAGGCATACTTATGCTTGCTTGAAGAAATTTTATCGAATCAATGATTTACCAGAAGGAGATAAAATGAGCTTAACCATGAGCCCCTTACTTCCCCCATCGTCGCCGATCAGAGGCGAAGCTCGACGGGGTTCTTGACAGTGTACCTGCCTCCACATCAGATTGCTCCTCATGTCAGCAGCACAACAAAGTAGAGTTTGCCAAATACATAGCCGAGTTTAGCCAAAGTATGTATTGAACGAGTTCATTTGTTTCAATTCAGAAAAGAGACTTTATTTTTCGTCAATTCTGCACCAACACTGCCTTGTTTTTCTTGTTCTTGAAATAAGTTGTGCACTTGATGAAATTGTATATGATCACACACATTCCCGGTACGCACATTGTAGCCATAACATCGCTGCCGCCGCGGCGCAATTCGAGCTGGTAGCGCACGCGGTCGAGTTCCGCCTGGTGCTGGTTGATGGACCAGAGCAGCGACCGGGCGGCGTGGCAGCTCCAACAGGGTTTTGGCGCGCTGGTCGGCCTCAACGAAGATGGTAGACATGGCGGGGTTTCGGAGGTGGAGAGGGAGGGCGGTGACGAGTTGTTCTAGTCTTCCGACGCCGAACAGTTCGAGTGCGTTGTGAGAGTTGGTGGGGTAGTTGGAGGGGAAGTAGGGGGCCAGGGGCAGTCCCCTGTGCATTTTTTGCGCTGGTCTTTACAAGCTGCGCAATTTTGGGGCTTCGTCATTGGGATTTTTTTAGGGAGCTTTTAACAAAAAACTTTCAGTACTGTTCACTTTAACGAAAAACCATATTTTTACACTAAAAAGTCAATCCTGGTTAAAACTCAAAATTTTCAAACCCTTTTCATTAGTTTTCCTATTTTTTTAGTCTATTTTATAAGGGCTAACACCTGTCCAGTACTTTTACCAAAGAAACAAAAAAGATAAAAATCACCTGTCCAGTACCGGAAGGTCAAGAAAGTTGGTGACCTGATGACAAGGGAGCCGGTGACAGAAGCTCTGGTGAATGACAGCCGTATGATCCAAAGATAGGGAAATTCCTTGTCGGCTAAGTTCCAACCCGCAGGAAAGGCGCAACGATCTGGGATACACTTCGTGTAACACAATAAATGGCAAAACTGAATACAATTTGCTTGTAAATGACCAAACCGTCCAGTTTTGAACACCAGAATTCGTCGGAGCAATTTCTTGTAGGGGGAATGAAAAGTGCAAAGGGAAAATAAAAAATTTGACCAAAATTCAGAATCCAGTACTTTTTATTGTATAAATAAAAACCATCTGAGAGGCCGAAATATGAAGAATCAAAAATAGACAGGGGATGTTATCCAGTGCCTTAATTGGAATTTGTAACTCCTACACTGACTGATCGCAATTCAACTCGTCTACATTCCCAGTCATTCTGGCTACGGAGATACACAAAATATACCTCAGCGGCAGCAGCGTAATACGGTACGCCGAACAGATAGGCTGGTGAGAGTAAAATTTAACTATATGCACATTGACACGGATGAATAGATGCCCGCAACTTATCAACCTGGCCTGTGCTAAGATCCGGCAGGAGCAATGCCTGTTGACTTGGCCGCAGCAGTTGCGGCAGCTGCAGCTGCGGCTGCAGCAGCAGCAGCAGATGCAGCCGCGTTGGGTGTGGAGGGTGGTACTGGCTTAGACTGCGAGTTACTCTTTGCTGCAACTACTTGCTGGTGCGGTTGCTGCTGCTGTTGTTGCTGGGAGTTTACTTGAGCGAGCAAGGACTTGATCTGAGTTCCGGTCAGTGTTTCCTCCTCTAGTAAAGCATTAGCGAGGGCGTAGAGTTCCTTGCTGTGTTCGGTGAGGATGGTTTTTGCATTGTTGTACGCCCTTTCCAAGAGGTTCTTCACTTCTTCTTCAATGAGCAGCCTAGTTTCTGTGCTCATGCTCTTACCATTGTCGTCGTAATTGTGACTGACGAGCCCAACTTGTTTGCTCATACCATACTTTGTAACCATTGCTCTAGCAAGCGAAGTAGCTTGCCGCAGATCATCTGATGCACCGGAAGTAACTTCACTTTCTCCAAAGATGAGCTCTTCTGCAACACGCCCCCCCATGCAAACGTCGAGCCGTGCAAGCATCTGTTTCCGGGAGACACTTGTCTCGTCCTTTTCAGGTAGCTGGGCAACCATGCCAAGCGACATACCCCTAGGAACTATTGTTGCCTTGTGAACTGGATGAGCACCATCGGTGTGGATAGCTACAAGTGCATGGCCACCCTCATGAAAAGCTGTTAGCTTTCTCGACTCATCAGATATAACAGCCGACTTGCGTTCACTTCCCATCATAATCTTGTCTTTTGCATATTCAAGGTCAGCCATGTTCACTGCTTTAGCACCGTCCATGGCAGCCTTCAGAGCAGCAATGTTGATCAAGTTCGCGAGATCAGCTCCGGAGAACCCCGGAGTTCCTCTAGCAATAATACTCAAATCGACGTCATTGGCCTTCAGAACCTGTCAAAATAACATCTTGATTAGTCATGGAGTGACTTCTAGTTCTAAAGAATCTGCTGCACCAATGTGAGGATGTGAAGGTAAAAGAGTCCCACATCAGTGAAACACTGAAAGTAGAAACTTTGCAAGCGCTTATAAGAGGTTGGGCTACTTCCCATATTGCCAATTGGTTTTATGAACCTAAACTTCTTTCAATCAATCTAAAATACAAAGTCATATAATGAAAACAGTGACAACCAAAATATGCCCATAAACCATAATGCTCAAACATATTATGTTTCATTCCGATGTGTAATGGATGAGACTATTGCAGACGATGTTTGTAACCAATGACCTTTCAAATCCTAGGCAGAGTCTATCAAAACCATCATAAAAAGATTACCTTCGACATGTGGGCTTCCATAATCTGCCTTCGCCCTTCAACATCAGGATTAGGGACAACAATGTGCCGGTCAAACCGTCCAGGTCTCACCAATGCCTTGTCCAGAGACTCTGGGAAATTAGTAGCAGCAATGACAATAATACCTTCATTTTGTTTAAAACCATCAAGTTCAACAAGTAACTGATTAAGGGTCATCTTCATGTACTGCTGATCCTTTGGGTTCCGGCTTCCTCCTATTGCGTCTATCTCATCAATGAATATAATACAAGGTGACCGTTTCTTTGCAGCCGAGAAAAGATCCCTCACCCTTCGAGCCCCAACACCAACAAACATCTCTTCAAACTCGCTGCCGCTGCATGAAAAGAAAGGCACCCCTGCTTCTCCAGCAATGGCTCTTGCTAACATGGTTTTTCCAGTGCCAGGTGGACCAACAAGCAAAACACCTTTTGGGAGCTTGCCACCTAGACGAGTAAAACGCTGCAACAAGGGAAATCTCATTAAGGGGTACGCTCTACAGTTACAAAAAAGATAAATACACTGCAAGCATTGGAAACAAATGGCACCAATTAAGATGGATCTGGCGTATCATCTTCTCCACAAGATCAAGGTTTTTTAAGATTGTACTCTTGAATTGATTTAAGAACCACAATGCAAATGAGAGGAAATTTTATCGAGTGAATCGAGAACATTTCAAGCCCTTTGCTCCAATAGGTCACTTCCAAAATCACCACCTTATGTTGGATGAAATAGCAATGATATTGCCCCCATCCCAGAAACTAGGAGACATAGGGTGATGACTAAAAGGTCTTCATGTTACATGTTCTTCAGTACATAATGTTGATTCATTTACCTTGGGATCTCGAAGATAGTGCACAATTTCCTCTAACTCGGATTTAGCTTCATCAACACCCTTTACATCACTAAATTTTGTGTTTGATTCCAGGCTAGGTTGAACCTCCTCATTTAGTCCGAGTCCTGAAATGTGGAAATGGAAAATTAAAAGGAAAAACTTTCACCATTTTCAAAATGCATCTTAATCAACTGGCAGAAGAGCCTAAAGCACCAAGAGATGATAATACCTTTGCTTATTCCTCTATCCTCAATGAGTGCTCCTACACCAGATATCAAAAGAAAGGCCAGTGCGATAGTGCGAATCGTACGCCACAGTTGCTCCTTAAACTGACCTCCTTCTCTAGCCACCATATGAATAGGAGCACTTGCAGTTCCAAGAATACCTTCTTTTGTTGATTTTCCAACATTACTGAGAACTGAGAAGCCAGCAAAGCTTTCTTCCTCCCTTGCAGAGTTGGCGACGCCTACAAAATTTGTAGACAAGGAGTCAAATTTATAAGCCAGGTCAAGGTGGAAAAACTCTAAAAAAGTATGTGCTAAGCGTAACATTGTTCGCACAGAAAATTCAACAGAAGGTTAGGATCCCTATAAACTTAACACAAGAAAAAGGGAATTTAATTGTATAAAAGCAGAATACTAAAAAACTGCCATCCAACTAAACTTTACTAAACTCTACTTCATCCATAAGCTTAGCACACTTCCAGACAAGTCTACAAGATAAAGACGAACTAGGGTATAATTTTGGTAGAAATTAAAAAGGAAACATAACCGTGTTCCATTACCCACCTCTCTGCAATGTCTTGAGTAACTCACTCTCATCCAGCCTCCCAACTCTTACTAATGCCTTCACATAATCAGAAAGTGCTGAAGGGTTAGAATGTAATGATGGCTGACTTTCAAATGCTCTTATCACTGCTTCATGATCACCCCGATGGTAAAGTTCTTTTAGATAGGAAATTTCACTAGCTTCATCGGTATCGCGTACTCTACGAGCAAAATTGCCAACATAACTGGACTTGAAGCTTTCGTGAGTACTTAAAAACTTATTCCCTGCATAAGGTTTAAAAGAAAGAGATCATTTTTATAAGTGAAGATAATGGAGAAGAGTATTCTGTCTTTCACTTAAAGCCTCACAATGAAGTACCTAAAGGAACAAATTGACAAGATAATGAACAAGAAACATAATTCTTTGCAAGTTTAAAATGAATGACAAAAGAAATATACCAATCAAAATATTTTGAATATGTCATACCTCCGGCACCTCCTCCTAACCTGTTGGCAGGAAAATAAGTTCTGGGAACCACTTTTGTCAGTTGTCCCAACTCTGATCGATGCCTTGAAACCTGTTAAGGAAAGAACATAGAGTTAAAAAGAGCCCGAAGAAACAACAGAAGTATGTCTAAGAAGGCAATTAAATGGTTCCATCCTTTTGCTCGTTGAGATAGAAAATTAAAACTTAATTGGAAAAACACCCTCGAGCACAGCATTCATTAAGGCATTAATTGCAAGTTCTCAACGATGGAAGGGGAGGGACTTGGATGATAGTATACTCATTTTCCTCCTTCCAAGAAATATATCAATCCTCTTCATTCTTTTAAGATCAAAAGAGGTGACCCGACTTTAAAATATGACAACACAAACTCCTATTCAGAGGAACAACGCAACCTCAACCGATCATAATATGCCCTTAAACCACCTAAAAGGAGTTATCAACCAACTCTTCCTTCATTTGCTGCTAGATACAAAAAAAGCTAAGAGAAAAGGAAAATTCAGATAACACCCGATTTTCGTAACGAGTCCGAAAGGTCCATCTCATTTTGGGTTCCCGATAGGTACAGATATCAACATCTAAATTACAAAATTCCAACGTCTCCACAATGTAAGCATCTCCTTACTCAAAATCGAAACAAACCCGTACACCGCAACACCGTAAACATGAACAAAACGGGTGCAGAAATTAACCTAATACCAAACTCCTAAACTACTACTGAACAATCAAAATACAGGAACTAGGGTTTCCGAGATCAACTAACAGAAACAAGCTATTTCATTGGGAAAACAATTCTATTGCATATAAAAAGCTGAAAATTGCATAAATTTTATAGATTTGGGAACCCCCAGCTGTGAGATTCAACCGACCTGAGTGATCAGGCGCCTCAAAGCCATCTCTTGCTTGAAGACCAAAAATGTCTGATTGCTTCTCTCTCTAGATTCACCGGGCCTTTCTCTCTCTAAATCAAAACTCCGGTGGCGTTGATGGGTCGGTTCAGAAGCTGGCGGTGGTGTTTGGATGGCGAGAAAATGAGAAGGAAAACGGGGGAAAGACCGGAGCTTTGGAAGATAAAGGTTTTTGGGGGTTGGGGGAGGGGGGGAGGAGAGAGATTTTAGGGTCCATATAGCATAATTAGATCTGAAATGTCCATGTTGCCCTCGGGGATGGATATTTAGAGCCCCATTCTACCCTTGGAGGCGTGGATATTTGGAATTCCACATTGCCCTTGGAGGGATGGATATTTTTTGAGTTCCATGGATTGGATGTACACCGACCTTCCTTTTGCCTGAAATTCATCGTCCGCTAATTTTTTTAGGGTTTTGTTCATTGTTATTGATAGACATTTTGCTTTTCCTAACTTTGGGGTTCGTGGTATGGAGAGTATTCGTACAAAAGCATTAGCTACAAACGACATGGAGGATAAAGATTCGAATTGAGTCACATATTATAACGATATATGAAATTCGTTATTCATAAAAATCGAATGTAACGCCTCCTGACTTAGCAAACAAAGCATGTGTAGCTTGAGTATTGCTAGTGGGTTCCTAGATCATTTTATTCTTGCGCACGCATGCATAATGAGCTTAGAATTTGTAGCTCAAATAGTAACCTTTAGTCTTCGGGTCATGTGTTTGTTTCTTTCCTCCATCATTTTTTTTTAGTTTTTTAGCTAAAATAGTCTTTGAGATTGGCATAACTCTTTACTTTGATCCATGAGATTTGAAATTGATAGAAGTAGTCCTTGAGTTTGTTCACCGTCAATTATTTTGATTTTTTTGTGAAAAATCTTAGATAAATAAATACCAAAAGAACAAATATGCTCTCAGTATAATAGACAATAGGTCAAACTGATTTGACAAAAATTAAGGTAATTTTGTCATCTCCGACGAAATGAAAAAGACATATATGGTATAAACGTGATTGTAGGGATGGTGAGAAAATATATAATTTCTATTTTTCATAATATTATGCATGGATGTAATGTATCATGGTGAATTCTTACTCTCAATTTTTTTTCTTATTTTAACGGAGATTTTCCATGGAATGATCAAAATAATTGACGGTAAACAACTCAAAGACCATCTCTATCGATTTTAAATCTCATAAATCAAAATAGAAAGTTATGCCAATACAAGGGATCCTTTTGAATAAAAAGTTTTATCTTCTGTGTCAAAAGTTAAAACTAGTAAGGTTATATCATTGCCTTGGTTCCTAAAAATTAATGAAAAAGATAACAAGTTCCCCTCCTAAATAAAAAAACGAAAAATAAATAAAAATAAAAACAGTCTATTAAATGGGAGTGTAGAATCTAGAATGTGGTGCAACCTTCACCAGCCAGTCTTTCATATGGTTATTGTTGTCATAGATTGATTGAACCAACAGCCGAATATAAATAAGACAATTGCCTTGGCCCAACCCAAATCCTTAGTCGACAACCAACCGGCTGCCAAGGCCCAAGGGTAGGAAAAGGAAGAAAAACAAACCCCACAACAATGGCATTTTTCTGTCTCCCTCGATCGAGAGATATTTTAGTGCGTCCAAATGATGGGTAATGCGTTATATGTCCTTATACAAGTGAAGAGACATTTAAAAAATAATATTTTCTCCTATTTATATAATAACATGTGATTTACCATTCCGTATTAGGAGCACACTAACATATTTCTCCTCTAGATCAAGACTATTCTAATTTCTGATCGAAGCTACATGCATCTTACCTCTTTCTTTAGGAGAGCTTATCTCCAAGCAAAGCTCTTCACCTTGCAGAATAAAGCGTCCATAATAAAGACGAGCCCGTGTACAAAATTCTTAACCGCAGAAGTTTGGGTTAGAGAAATTTTTAATTATGACGGGAACACAAATGGTACATCACGTGTTTTAATAAGAGTGGTGGGAAATTTTATTTTTTAAATTATTAACTTTTTAGCACACATATCCTGCCATTTGTATAATGACACATGATGTATCATCCCTTGTATTGGTCATATTGAAAAATCTCTTTTAGTTGGGCTTACCTCCATCCCTAGAGAAGCCGTATGAGGAAGAAGCTCCTAATACATTTTTGAAGCCGAGCCTGCCATACAATGAATCTTAAGCTTTCTTCCCTTGCCTTTTGCCTCCCTGGAGTATTCAGAGGAGCTTTCAAGATTGCTAAACATATCCGAATATAACTCGACTAAGAAATCCATGCCAGAGACTTCTCCTCGTAACCATCCCTGAAATATAGGAAGGTTTTCTATGGTTCTTCACTACTCGTACATGAAGGTAAGAACTGCTTTTTTTCTTGGAGGGATTCATTTTATTTTTCTCAATCAAGAATGACATACTATTATCAAACTCTTAGAATTCGTTTAAGACTGTTTATGTACGAAGTATTTTAGAAGTTTTATAATAAATATGTTGAATTTTGTATTAAAAAGTCAAGTGTTTCTTAGAAAAAAAACTTGGGAAGTACTTTATGATGAATAAGTGTTTCTTCAAAAATCATTATTACAACGTATCAGCAGTGTTAAGTGTTTTTACTAAACGTGTTCACAAGTACAAGTTGGAGTATGAACATGATTAGTTTCAAAAGAAAAGGCTAACTGAATAGTAGTAGGATTCTCTCCCATTCTATTTACATCCCTTTCTCTCACACATTGTTTTTGTCTTATTGTCTCTATTAAAAAAAATAAATATAAATATTGACGTGGTTTAATTGTAACTGTTTAAGTAAGAAGAGAGGGAAGGGGAGATAGATTAGGAGGGGAGTGAATCCTCCTCCAATTGGGTGAGCTATGGAGCAGCTGCGCACTGCACAGGCATATAATTTCTGCGTTGAACATGCACATGTAAATCATATATAGTATATTCCAGAAACAAAAAAGCTTTCATGTACATATGATATGAGCACATCGATATTCAGTACTGCAGTGCTCTACTCTCGAGTCTTTCCCGGTACTGTCCTTGGTCTGCTTACTAAATTGATTAGTTCCTTCAATAATCTGGATCCATTACAAACTCTGAAACAAATTGGTATATGCAATCCATGGTTTCATTAGACAACAATTTGCTTCCAATATAGGAGTTGCTAAGAGTAAAATTCGTAAAAAAATAGCTGGATGTATGGGAGATACTTGAGGAAGTTATGAAAGAGCATCCCGTATTACTGAACAGGGCGCCTACTCTGCATAGATTAGGCATATAGGCGTTCCAACCCCTTTAGTAGAAGGACATGCTATTTGTTTACATCCATTAGTTTGGATGGGATTCAATGTAGACTTTTGATGGTAATCAAATGTTTGTTTATGTACCCTTATCTTTGGAGGCTCAAGCGGATGATTGTATGGAACAGGTACACGGTACACCACTAATGTGGTGTCCAGCTCCAATAGTACTAAGACATTTGTTAGTTTCTCTCTATGTGACCCTGTATCATTGGCACGTGACGCTATCATGACGGTGTTCATTGTGTCCTACATACAAGTTGATCTTCCAGTTGGGGAATGGAAGTATTGTCTTAATAGTAATTTAGGTTTTGTTACCATTAATTTGAAAAATAAATTGAAAGTTACCTTCTTAATGGATTAATGTAGGCAGATGTGGATTTGGTTAGTAATCAGTTCTCGAAGAACTTACTAATCTTTAGTTACTTGTGTACTGTTATTCCTACTTAACAAACCAATTTGAATGGCTTAAAACTCAAAAAACTGAGAAATATCAAAACACATTGGCCTGTTCTTCCTGAGGCTGCGGAGCAACTCCTCCACCAATATTGCCTTGATCTTCTTGCTCTTGAGAACAGTTCTTCTGCACCTGATGAAATTGCATATGATCATACACATTCCACGTACCCACATTGTCCTTAAAGTCCTCCAACGTCTGCGCTATCGCCATAACATTGCCGCCGCTGCGGAGCAGTTCGAGCTGGTAGCGCACGCTGTCGAGTTCAGCCTGGTGCCGGTGGATGGACCAGAGCAGCGACCGGACGACGGCGTGGCAGCCGCCAACAGGGTCTTTGGCCCGGTGGTCGGCCTCGACGAAGATGGTGGACATGGCGGGGGTGGGGAGAGAGGGCGGTGACGAGTTTGTCGAGTCTACAACTCTACTGACGCCGAACAGTTTGTGTGCGTTGTGAAAGTTTGTGGGGTAGCTGGAGGGGAAGTAGGGGGCCAAGGGGCAATCCACTGTGCATTTTTTTCGCTGGTTTTTACAAGCGGCGCAACTTTGGGGGTTCGTCATCGAGATTTTTGTAGGCTATTTTTATCGGTTTGAGAAATGATCGGAAAATTTTGAGGGAGGGCAGAGAGATTCCAGTAGAGAGAGTAGTTTTTGTTGGTGTTGGGAGAAAAGTCGGGGACGCAGGTGTTGGTTATAGTTCACGTGGTTGTACCATTTAAGAAATTTGAAAATTAGACCCTAACGATAAAACAGTGACGTTAGAGAAATTAATTTTTTGTAAATTATATGATGTTGTTGTTGATAATGAGATTAAGTATCGATTAATGTACAAATCATATGGTTTGCAAGTCTGGTCTAAAATTTGCGTTGCGATATTGCACATTTTTTTGCAATGAAAAAGGATATGATTTGAAACTAGAACATAATAGATTGAAATAAAAATCCTAATCACCAAATCAATTCACTTCCTTACAAACCCAAATGAGCCAATACCATGCTGCTCATTAGTTCACCTGCTGAGCAGGATTTCGCTTTTCAGTCGTTTACTTAATTGTTTTTTACATGTTTTTTTTTAAATTTTTTTAGTCCAAAGAAGTTCTCTTGCCATACAACATTTGTACCATTTCTCTAATAGAGATAAAGTCACCGACATATGTGAGTCTCATCTCTATTAAAGATGCGATACAAATGTGGTAAAAAAATAGGAAACTTTAACGAAAGGCTCACGGTACTATTTACTTTAACGAAAGACTACGTTTTTACATTAAAAAGTCAATCCTGATACTATTCACTTTACCCTTTATTTTGTTCTTATTGTTAAAACTAAATGTTTTCAAATTTTTTTAATTAGTTTTCCTTAAAAAAATATAATAAGAATAGCATTTTATTCATATTATGGATGGCAACTCGAAGAATTTCAATATTTTTTAATTTGGGCAACCCAAGAATTTCAATAGATGACACAACATTCAAGTGCGAACTTACCTTGCATTTGGACGAGGGAATTTTAAGTTCCATGGAACTAAGACTCAACTTTTTTGGAATGCACTGTAAAAATTAGAGGGAATTGAAAATGAGTTGATGCCATATGCTTCACATAAATTTCATATTGCACCTTGAAACTTGTCATTTTGAGAGTTTATTTGTTTGTTGTCGTTGTGTTTTGATAGTAATTTTGTATTGTTTCAATTATTCGTTGGTATTGTTCTTATAGTGTACTTTTAACAATTGAACTATTACGTTGCATGAAAATAAAGCCCCTCGTCAAGACATAGGGTTTGTTTTGGAATTGGATCTGAACCAATGCCATCAAAGTTGACATCAACTAATCCCAACTAGCACAAAAAGGAACAGTGAAAGGGAGAGGGAGATGGAGAGGGCAAAAGCACCAATGAAATGGCAAACTGAGCTATCAGAAACAAACTAATCACATTAGCAGATGTGCGCTAAAATTTGATGTGGTAGAAACTAACACGTAAACTAAACCCTACTAAAGATGTAATTATAGTACAAGGAAATAAGGATCGTTCTATTTCGAGGATTAGAAGGGTTGTTAATCAGCACAAACTAAACAAATACTAAAAACTAACTTCAACGAGGGATTTGAGTGAATTGAACTTAAATTGAAAACTGAAATTAACAACTAAACAAAGAGAAACGGCAGCAATAAAATTGAAGTTTGAGCGATCAACGGATGAAAGCTAGCTAAATGATTCTTCTCAACACATGAAACACATACACATAAATTAATCTCCAATTATTCGTTCTATAAACCGTGAACAACAACGCCTCAAATTAACCGCGAACAACACTGGGTAACTCTCCTACTACAAACTCGCACAATAAGTTTATATCTAAACAAGAATTTTGGAAGCAATCCTAAAAGATGATTATTATTTTGTTCCAATTGAAATCAAGGCTCTCACCACCCTCAAAGATATCAATCAAAATTAAGTTACCATACCCCTCCAACAACAATAACATTATTGTCCTTAGGCACAAATAACCACACCATCCAAATCTCACAAAAAGCTTCACATTCAAACGTTCTTCATCTGGTCTCAACCAACAGAGTGTACAGCTTCCCAAACTAAATTCTTTGGAACCGGGCTGGCAAGATCGCGAGCCTGCAGTGCTGCCTTGCGCAGCGTCCCAACGGTGAGTTCATTGGCCTTGTAGAATGACACACTTGTGTAAAGCAGCTTGTGCTTCTTGCAGAGTTCCTTGACAAGGGGGGCAACTTTCCTGAGGTTGCCTCTGGGCAACCGCGGAAACAAATGGTGCTCGATCTGGAACTGCAATCCGCCGTGGAACCAGTCCATCCACGGGTGGCAGACTATATCCAGCGATCCATTCGTCTGATTTTCGCACCAATCGTTCCCTGTAGGGGTTCCGACATAAACACTTGAAGAGAAATGGTTCAAGCAGAACTGCACATGTTGGATTCCAGTGACGGAAAAGCTTGCCACAACGAACATTACTCTTTCACCCCAATTGGGGAGGTAAGAAACCAGCAGAGGATACCAAATCCAAAACACCAAAAGCCCGAAGATTTCTTGGATCCTATTTTTTACCCTCAATCTTTTGGATGACAGCAGTAAAAATGACTGAGCAAAAAGGTTAATCCTAGCAAGACACATGACAGGGTAAAAAGTCCAGTGCTGGTAACTAACCATGAACCTAGTAAAAGCATCGAAATTCATCTTCCTGTCGTAGTAATAAGAGGCGAGGGAGCTGAACAGTTTCGAATTCACCGCGAAAAAAGGCATATGCTGGAGATCCGGATCGAATTCGAGGCTGTTGACGGCAATGTGGTGGGCGTTGTGGTTGCGCTTCCACCACGCAATACTGATGCCGGCGAGGCAGTTTCCGGTGAGGATCTGGGCGAATCTGTTCACCCTTTTGCTTCTGATGATCTGGTAGTGACCCGAATCGTGGCCAAGCCACCCGCTTTGAATCCAGAGAAAACCCATCAATACGCCGGAACCCAGATGAACCCAGCCACTGTCGGAGCACAAGACGCCGTAGATGCTCAGAGTAAACAGCACTGCCACCAGAAACAGATAGAAATGCACGCTGTGTCCACTGTTTTCGAAAAGCCCCATTGTCGTAAACTCGTTGACGAGCTTCCTGTAATCTTTGGAAACTTCGGAAATAGAATAGTCTTCGAGATGGAATCCGGTGAAGAACTGGTCGAGGTGCTGCCAGGCGGTGCCGGGGTGGTAGGCGACGAACGCGTCCGTGACGTCTTGGCCGGCGAGGCTGAGCAACGGCAGCTCACCGCCGGGATGGTGGTTGGCCCAATCGGAGACGTTGTAGATCTTGCCCTGTATCGAGATCCATAGATCTCCAGGCTTGTTGTGGGTGCTGAGTTTTCCCTGGGAAATGTACTTCTTTGAGTCTTCCGCCATTGGACAGATCTGGGAGGAAAAAGCTTTCGATTCCCAACTGAACTCTTCCTCTCTGGGTTTTCCAAAAGGAAGAGACTTTTCTGTGGATTGATAATTATTGCATGTTGGGGAGGAAAGGATTTGAATTCGGAGGTTTTTTTTTTATTTTTTTTGAATTTTTCGAGCTCACTCTGCTTTCTCTGTTTTTCGGCTTCTGATGCTGTTTTGTAGTTTTTGAAGGGGATACGATTTGCGCAATTGGTGGGGGTATTGGAATTGAACAAGCACCGCAGAGTTGTATTGTTTTTGCAACTCTTTAAAAGTGTTAATCTTTTGGAAAATTAATAAAAAAAATTTAAAAATTTTGAATTTTAACGAATAATAAAATAAATAATACCGATTAATTTTTTTTAGTGTAAAAATATGATTTTTCGTTAAAATAAACAGTACCAAGAGTTTTTCGTTAAAGTTTCCGTTACTCCACTATGAGGTTAAGTCCATTTTTTTATTCTGTAAATAATATCATTTGTTTAAAAAAAAAAAAAAATCTTCTGTTTTTCGGAGTTCACCAGTGGCTTAAAATAAGGGAGTTTTAACACATTCATGTACTGTTCATTTATAACGAAAATGATATTTTTACTTTAAAAAGTCACTCCTTATCCTATTCACTTACAATACATTTTTATCTTTTAGATTAAAACTCAAAACTTTCAAACCATTTTCTTTAATTTTTTTTTAAAATAATCATATTGATTTACATAAGTTAACGGAAAACAGTAAAACATTGTGTAACGTTGCAAACTTACCTGAGATAATTAAAACAGGTAAATAGTTTGAGGCAGTGCGACATTGACACCTTGTTTCGTGTTAAGTCGGAATTCAGTGGACCTTGTCGTCAAATGGTCCCTACACTTACTTCTCAATGCTGCCACCCACCACGTTAAGGAGAAATTTTTTATTATGACGGGAACACGGATGGTATATTATATGTTTTTATGTAAGTGATGAGAAATTTTATTTTGTAAGTTAATAAAATTTTTAATACATATATTATATCATTTGTATAATGATACGTGATGTATCACCTCGTATACTGATCATATTAAAAAATCTCTCCACGTTAAGGATTGAAACACGTAGATTTGGACCATTTGGTGAATCCCGACAAGGCAAAAAAATGTAGCTTTTTCATGCTAAATACGGCATTTCCATGAATACCCAAACTAATCATGTGGTGTACAATATTACATTCGAAATTATGTGTTCGAATTTTTATTTTTATTTTTTATATTCTGAATAAAAATGATAAATTTTGTATCTCTGTGTTACCAATTAAAAAATATTTTTTTTTTTCGGGAAACTATCAAAATATCTTTATGCAAGTTGGAATATACCCACTTGGCCGACCAAAAATTAAAATAAGAATATGCTACATGGATACGCGAAGTATATGAGAAAATATCTTCATCCCCCATTGGCACAATCATTACCCATGAAATAGTTTTGCAACTCACGAGCACACTTTACATTGAATCTTGTTCTTATGCATATAATTTATTTTTAGTTATGCTATTTGATACTCGATTCGATTTTGATCTTAAAATTCACAGTTTTATTTCATGAAATTCAAAATTCGTTTTATTTTGACTTGAAAACTCTTTTTTCTTTCTGAAACTCAAAAGTCACCTCCTAGAACATACATCAGACCCACCACCCAATAAAACTACGCTATTTATACCAATGAATGTGATTATAAATCTCCAATATCAGTTAACATTCAACAATCATAAAACATTAAGTAAAAGAAATTCAAGAGATGAAAAAAATAGAAAAGAAATTTATTGGTGCACCCAAATCAAGTCCACATAACGGAATTAACAGAATTAAGCCAATGTGCAGTGAATTTTGTATTTTATATAATAAAATGACAATTTTTGAGTTTCAAGGTTAACATGGAATCAAAATCGAGTTCCAAGAAAGTTGAGCAAATTTTGAATTTCAGAGAGTAAAATGACAACTTTTGAGTTACATGAGACAAAATGAGATTCAAATCTAGTTTCACGAATCGTAACTAAAACTAAGCTTATATATTATAGGTGTAACATCCCACATTGCCTAGGGGAGTGGATCATGTAAGCCTTATATGTATATTCTCATCTCTACATAGCACGAGACAGACTTTTGGGAGCTCACTGGCTTCGGGTTCTGTAGGAACTCCGAAGTTAAGCCAGTTCGTACGAGAGCAATCTCAAGATGAGTGACCTATTAGAAAGTTTTCGTGTGAGTTCTCAGAAACAAAACTGTGAAGGCATGGTTGAGGCTCAAAGCAGACAATATTGTGCTACGGTGAAGTCGAGCTAGGGATGTGGTGCGGGCCTAGGCTAGAGTGTGACAATAGGGTGGTGTTATTCACACAACCATTTTTATTTCTCACACACCGCTTAACTTTTGGCCGTTAGAACTAATGAATTGAAAAAAAATAATGCTAAAAAATAACAAAATGTATATGAGAGGTAAAAATAATGTGTGAAATCTTATTTATACTACGAATCCATAATATTAATAGCGGTCTTGTGTTGACTCCTTTTATAACATGGGATGGTTTGACTATAACATCGAAAAAAATCTCCGTAGAAAACTGATGATTCATTGAAAGGGGTGATTTCTACACTTCTCCTTTCATCTTTTGCACTATTATGTTTGTTTTTCTGAATCACTAAGGGACTTTGATTATTATTTCGTTCTCAGTTGTTTGTTTTTATCTTTTTGAAAACTGAAAAAGTAACTACTTTCAGTTTTCAACTTTTGAAACAAAATGAAAATCAAAAATTGAAAACTACTTAAATGAGTTTCAAAGTTTGACCTTGAATTTTCACTATTTTGGATTTAAGTTTTTTAATTTTTTTTTTTGAACTAAAAAATGAAAGTTGTTATGAAATAAAATTTAAGTTTTTTAAAAAGTGAAACCTGAAAACCATTAAAAACTGAAACTTAAAAATTAAAAAACTGAAAACTAAATAAAATAGTTATCCAACAGTCCTTAAATAAAACAAATGAAAAAAGAAATAATACACATAATTAAGATGAAAAGTGAATTGCGTAATAAAAAAAAGTGCAGAAATCATTTTTCAGAAACCTTAGATTGTTTAACCTTTGCCTATTGCTTTCGATTCTTCTCCATCCTCCTCTAAGTCCCTCAACACACCAAACAGAAAATCATCCCTCCATCACACTTATTTCCCGCAATCTCTGCTGATCCTGTCACAGTAAGAACTCACTCTAATACTTATCTTCTCAATTAAGTTTTTTATTTCTTCTGCTTTTTTTCCATGAATTTCAAGCTAGTTTAGTTATGTTCTTTAATTGAAGCATTGTTCTACAAATTCCTGTCTAGGCCCTGCCAATGTTCCATTTAGGTCTTGCTTAGGCGTTAGACAGCATAATTAATCTCTAGATGTTTGAAAAATAAGATAAAATGCCTAAACCGCCTAGGTGATGACAATAGCCAATTGGTAACTTCTATTTTGCATTTTATGTATTCTAATATAATTATATATTTTTATAGATATAAATATGCATTTCTTTCTATGTCATGTAATAAATTTTTCTAAATTTAAAAAACCGTCTACGTTTCCCTCTTTAACGCCTAGGCGTTAGGTCCATGCCTGCTAACCTTAAATTGAAGAGAGAGCAAAAGAGTGTAAATTTGATAAAAATGTATTGGGTGTCTAAAGAATTATGCTTTATGTGTGAATATTTCTGTGCAAAAGATTATTGGGTGTTTGCTGCATTGGAAATATTTGCTTTCTTTGTTATGATGTCATGAAATCACTACATGAAACTTATTAGGACTTAAACAGATGGATTTTCGATTATTGTGGTTTGAACCCAAGTTCGAATCCTTTGACTGTATATTAGAATAGTTTAGAATACATATCGTCTTGTCAAAGAAACAAATGAAGGATTTTAACAGTTTGGATAATGCCTTGCAGGTATATGTGAATACCAGTAAAGTAAGAGGAAGCAAATACATTGATGGCACATTTGCTTTCAACTTCCTGCTCTCTAAATTTCTCCTCTGGTGGTAAACACTACATCAAACCGTTGATCCAAGACTCGGGAGCATTTCCTACCTCTTTAAATTTTCAGACTTCCAAGGCCTATTTGGGAGGATCCTCCTGCAAGAAGAGAGGTCAAAAAGTGGTACTTGCACGGTGCGTGCAACCACACTCTCTCCAAGTAGGGAAGCCCCAAATGAACCCAGCTATGGCGCCAATGAGAGCTCCGGTGGAGCTTTAAATCACAGCTGAGTAATGGTCTTTGGTGGGGATGGCTACTGTGGTTGGGCCACAGCCCTTCACCTATCCAAGAAGGGTTACGAGGTTGCCATTGTTGATAGCCTTGTACGCCGTCTGTTTGACCATCAGCTTGGTCTTGGTTCCCTGACTCCAATCGCCTCCATCCATGATCGTATCCATTGTTGGAAAGCTCTCACTGGAAAGTCCATTGAACTCTACATTGGTGATGTTTGTGATTTCGACTTCTTGTCAGAAGTCTTCAAGTCATTTGAGCCTGGTTCCGTTGTCCATTTCGAGGAACAGCGGTCTGCCCTTTACTTCATGATTGATCGGTCAAGAGCAGTATTCACGCAGAATAACTACGTGATTGGAACTCTGAACGTTCTCTTTGCTATAAAAGAGTTCAAAAAGGAGTGCCATCTCATGATGCTCGGGACCGTGGGAGAATACGGGACTCCAAATATTGACATGAGGAGGGTTTCATTACAAGTACACATAATGGGAGAATATCTCTTTGCCCTACCCGAAGCAAGCGAGCTCTTCCTACCATTTGAGAAAGGTTCATGAGTCGAATAATATAGCCTTCACTTGCAAAGCTTGGGGGATTAGAGCCACTTCCAACATAAATCTCTTGAAACTCTCTGCCGCTACATAAAAAGAAAGGTACCCTTGCTTCTTCAGCAATGGAGAGATTTTTCAATGTGACCGGCACACGAGGTGGTACAACACGTGTCACTATACAAATTGTGGAATATGTGTGTTAAAAAGTTAATAACGTAAAAAATAAAATTTCCCACCACTTACATAAAAACACATGGTGTACCACCCGTGTTCTAGTCACAATGAAAATTTTCTTGTTAGCAAGAGTCATTTGTGACCGAAACATGAGTAGTACACCATGTATTTTTATGTAAGTGATAAGAAATTTTACTTTTTAAGTTATTAACTTTTTAATATACATATACCACCATTTGTATAGTGACACGCGGTGTACC